GGGAAAGCACATTCAGAGGTCTTGTTTCCTCCCTCTTTTTAAAAAATTTTTTTTTTATCATCCCGTCTTTATTGTTAATAAATCACTCAAAGCATCTACCGTACTTCTCCCTCTTATTTGGCCACAGCAGTAACGCCGAGAGGAATATTGGGCTGAGATGGAGATTCACATGGCCGGCTCTCATGCCTAAAAGTGGACTAGAACTCGCAGTTTCCCGTCCCAAAGGTGCTTTTTTTTTTTCAAAAGGCAACTGGACTTTCTGGTTTTTCTTTGAAGACATTTCGCTTCTCACCCAAGAAGCTTCTTCAGCTCTGACTGGATGAGAAGCAAAACGTCTTCAAAGAAAAACCAGAAACTCCAGTTGCCTCTTGAAAAAAAGCACCTTTGGGATAACCATGACCTGGATGACAGAGAATATAGGGATTTGCAGTTTCCTGGTTTCTAGCCTGGTGCCTTAACACTAGATCAAAGTGGCTTTTGTATGTTATTAAAAGCTGTTTTTAGTGGAGGTACTACATTTTTTTATCCCTCTTCAAATGGTAATTTTTTGGGGTGTGCTGCTTATGCTTTTTAACAACTACATGGTGATACAAAAACTAATGTCACAGTAGGTGGCAGCACCTGCTCCTCTTTGGGTGGTCCTAAAAATCCTAAACAATAGTTGCATGAAAGACCAGTGTAAGGTGTCACTAGGCATTTAATAATATGTTGGAAAAAGACAAGGGAGAACCATCTACATATTGTTAAGATAACAAGTGCCCATGAGAAATGGAAACTGATTTGAGGAATTTAAGCTATGAAGCTTTCCTTTCATTTTGCATACTGGTATTTGGAAAAGGCAGATGTATTAAATTTCTATCAATATCCTTATGGATAAAAATGATAGTGATACAATTCAATTTATTATGTGTGTGTTTGACAGAAACTTCAATTGCTGAAAATTGCTGTGTTTTTATTAATACTTCAAATAATGGAATAAAAAATAGAATTAATTACACTATATCATTTTTAGTTGAATTCAGGAAATGCTTTGAATTGTCCAGTTCCTTACAAAAATATATCTAAACACATTCTCAGTCATTGTCTTCATATATTTATTTTTTTCTAAATTTGTAATCCTTAGTCATCCCTACTTACTGTCACTCATGCCCTAAGGCACTTCCTGATTGGAATATTGTAATGTACTTCCATTTAGGGTTGTCCTTGGAAGAAGTCTAGATATTCTTCCAAGGACAACCCTAAGTGGAAGTACATTACAATATTCCAATCAGGAAGTGGCTTAGGGTTGTCCTTGGAAGAATATCTAGACTTCAGCTGTGCAAAGTACAGTATCCCAGGCAGTTATGTATGTTTCTAGTAGAATTCACATTACACCTTTGCTTCACAAGATGCATTAGTTACTAATGTATTTCCAGTTCCAATTCAAAGTGCTTGTTTTGATTTTTAAAGTCCCATATGGTATGGGACCAAATTACTTACTCTCTCAGGTTGTATCTGCCTGAGATCCTGTGTGTCATTTGGCTCCACTATGCTAGATTTAGAAGACTTTTTCTGCTGTGGCACCTATGCTCCACCCTGAAGTAAGACTGGCTCCATCACTTTTGACTTTCTGAAAGTCCCTCAAGGCCTGTGTACCATCAGGCTGGGCACCCCAGGAAACTGGTGAAATATTCACCAGTTTCCTGGTGAATATTCACTTACTATTTCTTTTTATTTATTTATTTTACAATTTGTAATGTTTTGTAATGATTGGTTTGGGTATTATCTTTTTTTAGCATTGTTGTACACTATCCAGAATCACTTATTTTGTGAAATAGGCAGCTATACTAATTTGAAAAATAAAAATGTTGCTGTGTCGTGTGATCACAGCAAGGCACAATTTAGCTTTGTGTGTTGTGTAAGCCACACCTAGCTGATGTGATTAGTTTGATCCAGTGTGTCATGCAATCCAAGAATATGACTTTAACTGAGTAAGGTCATGGTTGCATTAATGTGTTATTTGAACACATTGTTTGAAAGCCAAAATGTGAATGATTTGGGGGGCTGAAATGAGAAAACTGTTAAGTTTTCAGGGAGTAGATCAACAATTGACCCGGCAGTACTATTCTCTACATAGTAGTATACGGTAATATTTATGTAAGATAGCTGGGAATCCTGTATGTTGTGTTTCAGGCATAATCTGTACAGTACCAGGTTGGAGAAAATCACACTAAATTTACTTTTTACCTTCTTACCGAGGATGAATTTTGAAGAACGCTTAATATATCTACTTGTACTTAAACTGCCTAAATTTCAAATGCCATCCAACAACATGGATTCCCCAGTCCAGTCAGATGGAAAGGCCAAGAAAAGCTTCAAATAGTCTTTGGATATGATTGTCCAAGATGATATCAATTCTTTTAATTGTGAAATCCTTGAAGTTGCTGACTCAACGAAAATCAGCCTCCCAGACAGAAAAAATATCAAACAACTTACATGCCAGTTAGAAAAGTATTGAACAACTTACATGCCTCAACATCTTGTCTAGATGAACAACTAGATTCCATGGTAAGATAATGGGAAATTCTGTGGAGTTCCATTTGAAGAAAGATTGTATATCTGTGGTGTTGAAGACATCACACATATCCTGTATAATTGCAAATTATGTTCTACAAAAAGGACTATTTACTTATATCCTTATTTAAAAACTGAACAAATATTGAGACATCCAGGTGAAACAATACTTCCTGCAGGGAATGAACCTGTATATCACCAGCAAGACAAATGTTTACATCAAAGGCTGTTTCAAAAAGGATAGACTACCTAAATAGGGTTTCATTGCAAAAATGATTATTATGAGTATGAGCACTACTTTCACTATATTGATTTCAAAGTGTTTGATATGGTTATATGACTAAGGAATAAAATTTGTTGTTTACCTTCTGCTTCAAATTTACTTCTTTTCCAAGATGCTACTATGGAACTCATGCATCTGAGATATACTTCTTGGACATTCTTTTTTGCAATGAGGTACCACTAGGCACTTACTGCCTTTTTATTTGATTAAGGGCAATGTTTATCAGCCTCAGGAATCTGAAGATGTATGGACTTCAATTCCCAGAATTTCTCAATCAGCATGAGAAACATGCGATAGAGAATGCCCAACATTTCTGTTCAGCTACCCCATTGAGAGAAAAAAAATATGAATGCAATATTTCATAGAGGACTGCCTAACTTCACTCAGGAATTTACTAAAAGTCCCCAAAAGGCATCAAATGATGCTTCTGAATGGAGAAAAAAGATGAGGTGTTTATGCTTTGTCTTTGGATATTTTGCTCACTTGGAGATTATAATTTCTTTTGCTTCTACAAGTGCTGGTCTGCTGATTGTTTAAACTTTTACTTGTAGTTTCTCAGGAGCAAGGAAATTTTTGGTTGCATTGATACAAAATACTAGCATTAAACATGGGCATCTAGCCTAATAATGGGTAGCATGAAGATGGTTCTGTTCAATAAACCATGATTCAATTAACAATGGATCTGAAAACAGCCTTTATTAAAATTCAGACCCTTCCCTTCCTTTTTCTTTTTTTTTTAGCATTTGTGTGTGTACTGCCATTCATTTAGTGATTGTTCATAATTACAAGTGACTTATGACCATTTTTTCACAATTATGATTGCTGCAATATCCCCAAAATCACATGATCAAAATTCGGATGGTTGGCAACTGGGATATATTTATGATGGTTGCAGTGTCCCAGAGTCAAGTGATCACCTTGTGCAACCTTCTGATCAGTAAAAGCAATGGGGAAACCAGGTTTAATAACAACCATGTTACAAACTTAACAACTGCAGTGATTCACTTAATAACTCTGGTAAGAAAGGTTATAAAATGGAGCAAAACTCTCTTAACAACTGTATTGCTTAGCAACAGAAATTTTGGGCTCAGTTGTAGTCATAAGTCAAGGATACCTGTGTATAAAAACCAAAGTAGTTTTTTTTAAAGAGGTTAAAAACTGGTAAATATTTAAATATCTACGTATCTAAAACATAGATCTAGAAAGAGGGGTAGCATTTTTCTACATCTTACAGTTTTATTTATATTTTAATTTTCTTAATTGCCATCTCCCTCAAAGGGAGCTGTTTTATATATTTTAAAGCTTTCAGGTAGTTGACTATATCTCTTATCTATCTCTATATACTAAATATTTCCCTCTCTAGTTGTGTCTGACTCTAGTGCATGGTGCTCATCGCCATTTCTTGGCTTGAGGGAGCCACCATTGTCCAAAGACATTTTCCATGGTCACATGGTCAGCATGGCTATACACCAAAGGTACAGGGAATGCTGTTACATTCCCACTGAAGTGGTACCTATTAATCTACTCGCATTTGCATGCTTTCAAACTGCTAGATGAGCAGGAACTGAGGCAGAAATGGGAGCTCACCCCATGTAGCACTTGGGTCTCAAACCCTGGCTGTCAGCTTTCCAGTTGATAAGCTCAACTTTATCTGCTAAGCCTATACCCCCCCACCCCCCATACATGCATACATCTTTGTATACACACACATATTATGCATGTATAATTGTATATGTATACACACTCACATATGCATGTATATTTCATACCTTTGTTATTTGCAAGCCCTTATGTGAAGCTGTACAACTGAAAAGCAGGATATAAATAGTACATGGAACAAGGATCGTGTAAAAGATGATTCAGTACAAGTTATCTTCGGTGTCCCCTGACAGGGAGAGATGGAGAAATAAAGAAGACACAATTAGTCATGTTCATCACACTTTACACGTTACAAATATTGATGCTATGTCTATTGTTAATGATTAATTCTGCTGAAGGTAGAAGGAAAGAATGGATTATAATGATGTTAGAAGACCTTGGAGTTTTTCCCCTTGTGGTAAACAGTGTTTAAGAACTCACAGGGATGGTAAAGTGGGTGGAGTCTAAAGAGCACCCAGGCAGGAAATGGTTTCCCCCCCACCCCCCATCACCTGGGAAAGTAAATTCTTTGATTTCTCTGAGGGCAGTCCAGCTAACATGCTCCAGTTTAGAGCAAACAAAGGAAGGGGAGCCGCTGACAGATCAGTCCTTGGATCTTGTTTCTCCCCAGCGACAATGCACGTGTGGGCTACAAATTGCAACTTCGGGGACATTGTTTTTAGATCCTCTTGAATCAGGGAAGGGATCAAGGACGCCAATTTGACTTCAGCCGTGGAATTTAAGCGTGCAAAGCACACCGAGCGGTAAGAAAGCAATTGGAGCAGGTTTTTCTTTCTCTGCAGTTTTATGGGGAGGGGGTGGAAAAAAAGATATGTGTGAAGCGGGAGATAACGCTACGTTTGCTAAGAGGTTTCTGCTTTTTGAAATGTATTTTAATTTATAATCTCAGATCCAGGAATGGAAAACAGTGACAGATACAGCTTTGCGAAAAAGGCACATGTATATAGTCTCTGTCTGCAAAACCATGCTGAGAATTTCTTTCTGTCCTCTCCTTTTTTCCTGTCGCTCTCTTGACATGGACCGCGGTTCATATTGGCGCCTTTACGCGGGGACTTCAATGATCCTCTGCTCTCTCGCTCCTGCCGGATCGGCCCCACATTTTTCCAGGGAAGCTTTGGGGTGATCTGTCATTTCGCGTGGTGTCTCAGGCAGAGTAACTCTCTTTTTCAAAGAGCCGGCATCCTTTCTTCCTCTGTGCAAAGGAATAAGGGGGTCGCTGCGAGTTTTCTTTCTTCTGCGTGGGCTGGTTGTCCAAGGTATTTTGATCCATTCAGGCAGCAAGACCTCCCCACCCCCCAAAATTGTCCGGAATATCGGAGGTGGGATGGAAACCCTAAACCTCAAAGTCCTTGATTCACTCCCAGTCCTAGCTATGAATTCATGCATCACAGTTTACCAAGTCTGGTCTGCAAAAGGGAACATGCTTCTGAACTATTTTAAGAGGGAGGTGGAGTAATAGGATTCACTCCTAAGTCATGACTTTTGGGTCTCAAGATCTACCTTTGCATAACATTACATCTTTACATAAATCTATTTTTATGAGTTGTGAACTTCAGGCAGCAAATCGGGGTGGAGGTGGCAGTGCCTTTTACCCCATTGTTTATGCCAAAAATGCCATCTTAGTGCTAACTTGGCGTGATATTCAACCTCTCCGGTTGGGTTTTGTACAGGAGGGCTGTTTCTGTTATCTATCTTGGACAGCAAAATGGTTTGAACTGGTCATGCCCGATTTGAGAGACTGGTTACCACAAGATATTTTTGCTGCTGGAACCCAGATTCTGAAATATTTGCCCCAATGTATTGTATTCAGCAGGTGTTAATATTATTCTGTTTCATATGCCAATAGTTTCTTAAGCCTTTCTGCAGTCTTTTGGAGTTGAATTCTGTTTACATATTTTTAAAGAGCTGTTTGGCATATTTATATTGATTTTATATTTGTTTCATTCATTTTTAACTCTTGCAGTCAGTCTGTAAGGCTAATGTTCAATAGAATGATGGAATGCAGAAGAGTTATTTACCACCTATGAAACATATTTAAATTAGGGTTGTAGTGAATTGATTAAGTGAATGGATTTTAAAACATTTGTATTAACTAAAATAGATTTCCCAGTTTACACTTAATCTTTGAAAATGCAGAAATCCAACAGAAGCTGAAGTAGTGGTATTACTTCTCAGTTGTGATCTGTCACTTGCCCTGGAATTCTTTTTGTTTGCTGTTCTCTCCACGCCCCTTAAAAACACGCTTTCCCCTTCTCCAAGATTCAGATAGACTTTTTGCTTCACTCTATGTCAGTTGCATAAATCAGAAAAGATGTGATATTTAGTTACCAACATCTGCATGATTTCCTAGCGCTTTGGGTACAGAATTACAGGCAGGAGGAAAGAATTATAGGATTTAATGTAAGTTGTTCAATCAAGTTGTATAGGTATTTAGCTGACTTCATAGGACAGTTACTTTTATCTTCTTGGTTTTCACAAACTATTTGCATTCCCTGGTAAATCCAGCCTATTTTTAGCCCCACAAATATTCAATACATTTATTGACACTATCCAATTAACATGGTCTTTGGGTTGGATCCTTTCCATGACGTATTTTTATCTGCTTCCAGAGAGATCTTCCAAATGTCATTTGGGATATTTTTGCCTGCAGCCTTCACTTGAAAGGAAAATAAACTTGTTCTTTGACTAAAAGGTGGAGTTTATTTCTGATGAATGTCTGGGCTTGTTTCTCCCATGTTATCTTGGCCTAAAAGCTTATGCTGTTTTGGGTGCCTAAGGCACCAATAATTAAAGCTTTGCTGCCCTTTAATTATTAGTCAAATTTATATAGCCACCCCCTCACAAGAATTTTATAACTAGTTGTGATAATTTTTGCCATAACGTTGGGACAACCATCACTTTAGATGACTTTCAAGAGAATGGATCAAATTAATGAATGGTTGTTTGCCATGATAGTAATACAGAAATGTGCTAAATATTATTTACTGAGGAGAAAGATTTGAGGGCTTTCTGAAAACATCTGGCTGGCCTCCAAAAGAAAGAGAAGGTTCTTTGATAGGTTTATTAGAGATAAACTAGAAGCTTGCTGATAGGACTCTTTGAGATAAGAGTGATTAGTCAAAGTAATGGTGAACCATGAATCTATCAGAAGCTAAATAAAACTTCCAGAATTCAGCAACATTATGTCTGAACCTGCTATTAGAAATCAAAAGAAGATTGTTTCTAAGTAAATATACTTTGGAATATGTTGCTAATAATATATTCTTTTTTTCAGACCTTTTCTTCCATTGTGCTACTCCAGGCAGGTTTAAAAATATGTCTATCACAGGACTAAAGAAGAAGCAGCCTAAAATGTTTAAAGTGAAAGTTTCAACAATGGAAGCTGAAATGGAATTCAGCTGTGAGGTATTTTGCTGTTGTGTTGATTTCTAAAGGCCAGAATTTTTATACAGATGACATAAGATTTATATACCTGCATATTGCCTCTCTCTCTCTCTGAATATAGAAAGCTGACATGTCAAGGAAAAGATTATGTTGAATGCCTTTTTCTGACATGCTAATTGTCCATTTGCAGGGATTTATATGATATGAATTTTAAAAACAACCCTTATGACTGGATTCAACTACTGAGATTGAAGTAATTTTCAGGCTTTTTGCCTCTTACCTGGTTCATGTGACATTCACTGATCTGTAGTATTTATTTAAGAATATCTGTTCTATCTCTGAGTGCCACTTCTCTTTCAGTCTCTGCTTATGGCAGATAATTTTTGCTGGGCTATCAATCTCAAAGGAGGCACGGCTGTCTTTTCTTCCAAATGGGTGATCTGCCTAGTATCAGTGACAAGACAAATCACAATAATTAGGCACTTCTAAATGTACCCGGTTTCTAGCTGTATAAGTGCTTCTAGTTTAATTCAGTAAAGAAACTTGGAGAACGTTGTCTGATTGAAGTTGCCCATAATATAGATCTTTAAAGGAATAGGGGGAGGCAGCAGAACTGGTGTTGTTGTTGAGACTTGTTTTTGAAGCTATCTTGGCATTATCACATCTCATATGTGCTAAGAATTAGAATTTGAAGGTTCTAAGGACCATTGAGTTAAATGTGGGGCTTTTGTGGGAGAACAAGTCATAAAGGTATGTTTATAGATCTTGAGTATGCTGAAAGGAAAACAGAAGTTTAGAATATAAGTCTCTACTTCTAAGATAACAAAACAGGAAAGCAAGCAAAGATTTGAAGCCTTGATTCTAGGGAATCTATAAGCATAGAGTATATCCTTGACTTACAACTATTCATTTAGTGACCATTAAATTACAGCGGCACTTAAAAAATGACATGACTGTTTTTCACACTTACAATCATTGTAATGGTCACATGATCAAAAGTCTGCTGCTTGGCAACTGACAATTGCATGGTTACAGAGTCATGTGGTCACCATTTGTAACCTTCCCAGTCAGCTTCCGACAATAGGAATAGCACTTGGACTTATATACCCCTCCATAGTGCTTTATAGCCCTCTTTAAGTGGTTTACAGAATCAGCCTATTGCCCCCAACAACCTGGGCACATCAGGTTGTTTTGAACATCATTTTACCAACAGCGGGAGCATGGAAGGCTTAGTCAACCTTGATCCAGTGAGAATCAAACTGCTGACAGTTGGTAGAGTTAGCCTGCAAGACTGCTTTCTAACCCTGGCGCTTCTATGACTCTCAAGCAAAGTCAATGGAGGAAGCCAGATTCACTTAACAACCACATTTCACTTAACAATTGCCGTGATTCATTTAACATCTGTGGCAAAACAGATTGCAAAAGTGAGGCACAACTAACTTACTGTCTTGCTTAGCAATGGAACTTTTGGGCTCAGTTGTGGTTGTAGGTTGAGAACTACCTGTTATAATAGGATCATAACCTGTAGTAAGATGTGCAGCCAATTAATTTGGTAAATTAAACAAATATTAACTAACATCGGAATATAAGAAAATATAAGAGAAGGCTGTATTCTAAACCTACAGTACTACAGGCTTTTCTTTCTAGAGTAGCCAAATAAATACTAGTATAAATGCTAGTGTAAAGAAGTGCATTACAGAGCTTTGGAATTTTGCATTCTTTTCCCAACTACTCAAAGCCTTGCTTGATTATTACTCTGATTGATGTTGCCACGCAGCAGCTGGAATTCTGAGAGCTGAAGACCACACCTGACATTGAGTTTTGAACCTAATGCCTGGAAACTCTAAATCATCCTCTGGATTCACATATTATGCTATATGATGGTTTATATAGTAACAATTTTTAATTCAGCCACAAAAAACACTCTAAAGCATAAATCATGGCTGACCAGTTAAAACTGCAGGATGAATTCATACTAAGCACAAGCAAATAAACCATGTTATAACAGCAAAATGGGTAAATCCTGCTATTTTGTTGGAGATGAACTTGAAGAACACAAAAAACCCCTAACTTCTAATTTTCTTAAAGGCCAAAATTATGTAATTTGAATTTTGCACTTATCATGAGAGGCTCTGGAATTTCTGTTTTTCACATAGTTGAGATCATGTATTTAGAGTACCTCAGGAATAGAGATTTTTTTTCACACTCGGATGTCCTTATTATTTATCTATTCAAAATTGATTCTGTACCATTGCAGATGAAATGGAAAGGAAAAGACCTGTTTGACCAGGTGTGTCGCGCATTGGGGCTGCGAGAATCCTGGTACTTTGGTCTCTGGTATTCTATCAAAGGAATGGGCATTTGGTTGAAGATGGATAAAAAGGTTTGGAATCTAAACTTTCATTACAAAACATTACTCATCAAGTTGGAAAGACCTAAAGATATTCTAAAAGTTTCCTTCAGAGATGGTCAGCTTATTTTTATTATTGTTGTTGTTGTTGTTATTTGGCTCAGGGATCTCTGTTTTGAGGAGGGCCTTAAGGAGCCAGGCCAGGCAAAGGAGTTGGCTGTTTTGAGAGCATTTGAATGAATAAGGCAGCTTACCTTTGATGTAAAAAAAAAAGGAAAATGCACCACACCATCACAATTGTAATGGTGAAATTGGGTATGTGTTTAATGAGGTCAGAAGACCTGACAGACAGAAGACCTGAAAGCAGACAGACACCATCTATGCCAATCCTTGATTTACAATGACAATTTGTAAATGTAAATGGTGGTTAGGCCAAAAACCACATGTGCACATTCATATTCATGTGCATATTCAAATTACATTCCCCCTACCCCTTTAGCTAATTAAAATCCTCTTTGCCTCTAGACTGGAATATGAATGTAATCAGAATGCTTCTATACCAAGGACTCATCATTTATCTTAACTTTTCTATCCTTTGTCTTTCACTGAAATTGTCTGAAGAAAGGAAGTACTATATAGGGATTACATTAGCATCGTTGACAAGATCTTTCTCCTTTTACTTTCCCCCAGGACTAAAAAAAAAGGGGGGGGGGAGAAGGGGAGAGATATATGTGAAATGTATCAGTTCATATGCAAAGGGAGATGGGAAACAATGGGAAAGATTAAGACATTTACATTTGTAAATCTGAAATGGTTTGGGACTGGAAAATGTGGAGGAAAGCCTTCCTCGATTTTGTTATTTCCCTTTTTTATTGGTAATAAAGGGCAAGGATCAGAACATAAAAACGCACCCATCTGAATGCATCTAAATATGGGAAAGTTGAAAAGCAGTTGTAAATTAAAGTAATTTCCCTACATGGCTATTGATGCTAAAAAGTTGCTACAAGCACATGTGAACCAGCAATGGGTGAGGTGCAAAAGAGTCCTAGGTGACATTGTGAATTCATGGCAAGAAACAATGGCTTTGGGCTTCTGCTTTGCCAAACATGCTTTTCCCAATCGGAGGTGTTTAGTTGTTCTGGTTGCTTTTTTCAAACAGGTTTTAGATCAGGATATTCCCAAAGAAGATCCAGTGAACTTTTGTTTTTTGGTGATGTTTTACCCTGAGAAGGTTGAAGAGGAGCTTCTGCAGGAGATCACCCAACACCTCTTCTTTCTGCAGGTCAGAAGGTATTTCTTTTATTCAGAATTGGCTTTGAGATGTCATGGTTGTCTTTTGAACATCATCATTATGTTTAACCATCTGTGATCCTCCTCTTCCATGGGGTACCCCTTAGGTTAGTGCCAACTTTAGAGTTTTAGGATTAATTGAAAGCAAAGGGGTCTTCAGTGGGTTCCTCTTTCAGTTTTGAACTTGTTACTCCTTAGCCGATTTGTTGTTGTTGATGATAATTTATTTATTTGCCATTTCTTTCTGGGCCCAATCCACCAAGGGGAAGAACACCAAAAGAGAACAAGGGATGCTGTTCCCTTGCTTCATTCTGGCAGGCTCATAGAAATTCAGTGAGCGTGGAACCAAAAAGCCTTGGGAAATGACAGTAATACCTTTGTTGGATTATATATCATGTCTGATTTCCACAATACTGTCTTCTGATATTAGCCTTGTTTTCTGTTTTTAAAGGCTTGCATAATTTGCAAGCCCTTTCCCTTTAATTAATTGTTGCTCATAGATCCAAGTAGCTTAATGTGCTTTTTTCAGAAGTCCTGTCCTTTTGGAAAGGCCTCAAAATTTATATAACTAAAAGAGGATTATAGCAAAAGGCCAAATGAGAGAAAATGGACTATTTTAAATCACTAAAATAGCCATACTACCATCACCAGCCCTGATAGTCACAAAACATCAGTACTTTTTCATTTGTATGTGTGCGTGTAACCCACTTTCTACCATGTCTTTTATGCTAGTCCTCCAAACAATTATGGGGAAGTAGATGGAGGTATCAAAAAATATCCTACTGTCCTAAGGGAATCAATATGTGATGATTTATGATCAAGAAATAGACTGGGGAATGTTAGCAGTTGAAGTTCACACATTGTAAAGTTGCTAAGGTTGAGAAATGCTACATATGTGAGATGAAGAGATTCTGGCATTCAACTCTCACCCCCAACTTTAAATTGTTTTAACACCCCTCCCCTTTTAAGCAATCACCTGACTCTGCTGCAACCGATATGGAAAACTTTATATTATGATGTTCTGTCAAAATCTATCAAAACTTTTAGGTGAAATCATATTATGTAGTTCTTAAACACATGTTTGAGCAGCTCTGCATTATTCCTTACTTATAGGTACTTTGATGTAATTTGAAGCTGTAAGGATATTGTTTGCCAAAAGCTGTGCAGAGGGACTCCTTGTCCTTTGTAAAAGTTGCATCTCTTGCCTTTATTTGCCAGCCTATGGAAGTGTGAAAATGTCATGCAGGTGTAAGGCGAAGGCTGTGTGCAGTGTGAGTGGGCAAAATGACCTGCATGCTCCAGTCCAAGAAGCTGGCGAAGGGAGGGAGTGGATCCAGAAAACATTTATTCATTGATTAAAGTATTTATAGCTCACAAAAGGATCTCAGGAAAAGCTATCATCCATAAAACAAGCAAAGTGAAATAAAAATGAGCGACACCTTAAAAATTTAAAAAGAGAAATAAGCACAATGCAATAATGAAAAGAAACAGATTTTTAAAGGGACAAAATGGTATATTTAAGTCAGCCCTTAGGTGAAAAGCCAGCCAGGATTTCATCTGGCATTGAAAAGCAAATATTTTTGTGTGCCATCATGTTCTGCAGGAAAAGGAATTACTTGGAGCCATACTCTATTTCATTGAGGGGTGCATCAGGGTTGTGTTTGACCTGGGGGAGGGCGTGGCCATGGGGGATTGGCCAGCATTGACATTGCTCATGTAGGGGGGTGCCTGTGGCGGCCCGAGCACTCTGCCAACGAAAATGTGCTCCTGGGCCCTGTTTTCAGCCACAATGGCCTCCTGCAGCCCTCTGCCAGCGAAAATGGAGCTCGGGGGAGGGGCAAGCTTTGTTTTCTCTGGCAGAGGGCTGCAGGAGGCCGTCCCGGCTGAAAACGGAGCCTGGGACGGCTGCTCACGGCCCTCCCAACAGTGGTGGGATTCAATTTTTTTTTTACTACCGGTTCTATGGGTGTGGCTTGGTGGGCGTGGCAGGGGAAGGATACTGTAAAATCTCCAGTCAGAGGTGGTATTTGCTGGTTTTCCAAATTACTCAAAATTTCTGCCACTGGTTCTCCAGAACTGGTCAGAATCTGCTGAATACCACCTCTGCCTCCCAAGCTCTGTTTTCACTGGCAGAGGCACCTTCACTGTTTCCAGGGTGGCCCTGTGTAGCAGATCTAAGCACCCCGTGGACCTCATGCAGCCCATGGACCTTGAGTTTGACCCCCTTGACTTAGGGTATCAAAAAAAGCAAACCCTACCCCTATTTGATCATTATCAGTCAGAGTGGGGTGCTGGATTTCACAAACTAGTTTAATGTAAACAGCTAAAACCCTGAACAGATGCTTCTGTTATTTCCTTGGAACTAACTTTTCTTTTAGGAAACTTTTCTTTGGAAGAGTTGATCCAGTAGATAGGATCAATTTCCTGGCGGGTTTCTGCTTTTCACCATTGCCTTAACAATTATGTGGGTTGAGCTAGTTGGAAAGAAGGCTGTTTCTCCTTTCCTTTCCGTTCATTTTCTTTTAATCTCCCTGAAAGCTACATATTTTTTTGCAGTTCCTTCAAACTTGCCTTGGCTTGTTCCCCTTGGAGGAATGTAGTTTGGGGAATTTTTTTGCCGTTCCAAAAGAAACATAAAAGAGGAAGGCAAAGCAACACGCTTGAACTTGCTGGGTTTCTTAACATTAAAATTTAGATTTGCAGTATAATTGGGGTAAAAGTGAGACAATAACATATACAAGCATTTGTATACTTACAGTATGACATTCAACCTACTAAAATGTATTGAACCATTTGCTTGGTTTAATAATGCAAAGTTATTATGTAGAAGGCAGTTCCCCTGATTGCAGGAGGAATGAGAAAGTCACAGTGTTTAGTCATAGAGATCAGCCCAGTAACTTTGGCCCAGGGATTTACATACTTAAATAAATTTGATTTTCCGGTTGACTTCTTTAGGCTGTCCCCTTTTCAGACTTTAGAAAGAGACCTGAGTTTTAATTATTTTAATTGCCACTAATCATTATTTCTATACTGGATTCTAAAAAGAACCCAGAATGGCTACAACAAATTAGTAGGAAAAAAATTAAATAAAACCAACAATATTTAAAACATTAAATCCAGAAATCTATACAGGGCTCATTTAAAAAAGCAAAAAAAAAAAAATAGTAGTAGAACACCCAACCACAACTCAGTTTGATCCTGGCACAGTTATTCCATAAATGCCCGAACAGCTATTTGCTTGCCTTCTAAAATACAGTTTAGAAATCAACTTATCTTTCTAGGCAGAGATTCTGCAGTCTTCTGGTACTATAGCCTTCTATGTTTCAGCGAAAATAAGGGTGTTTTCCACCATATGCTATATTAAACATCCCAATTAAAAAAAGCAGCTACCAAAATGAACAAGAAATGAAGAGAAATAAACTCAAACTTTATTAAAAAGACAGGAGTCAGAAAAGGGAGAGATAAGATAGGGTGAGGGAATAGATTATACAGAATTGGGAACTCTAGCCATCTGATCATGTTATCTGATTACAGTTCCCATAGGAGAGTAATGCTGAAGCTTGAAATAAAATTGTCAATGGCACAAAAGGTATAATGGGAACTTCCCTCTCTCTTTTTTTCTCAAATTGCTAACATTCAAAATAACAAAATATTTTTTTTTTGCTTGATGGTTCATTCAGAACACACAAAAGAAGAACACAACATAATGCAGCATTGTTTTCTGGAGTTTACCAGGCCGTGTTTATGGGACTGAATAGAATGTTTAAGCTTGTCCAAACAACAGTGACCCGAAGAGTATTTGAATGAGCCCCTACATGCAAATACAGTGTGTCTCAGAAAGATAAAAAACCAAAGCAAGCACAGGAATTGTTTTCAAGCCTTCTTGTTGGATTTTGAAGAAGCTTTTAGCTGCTCTGGAAAATAGAATTCTGGATTAGATGGATCTTTCATCTGATTTGCTAGATTTTTTCCCTTGATTAATCCTGATACTCTATATTTCTATGGTGGAAAACAAATCATAGTGGAGAATTATAACCTTTCTAATTTGCTTGCTCTATTGTGCTTTTCTCAGTATCTGGCTGATCGCTAATGAAACAGAAGAGTGGACTAAATAATCCCTTACTGATCTGATCTTCCAAATGGAAATTATGGTTTAGAATGTAGTAATTTATGCAGCATGCTTTAAAAGCATATGTAACTTGAATATTCTTGGTATTTTTCTGCATGTCTCTACAGCGGCCAACATTTCTTTTATTTATTTATTTTCACTCATAAACTCAGCTAATGGTTACATTTCAGGTGCCAAAACAAAGTCTGGGTGTCTATTATTTTGTTTTCAAGCTTTGGCTGAGTCTTAGATTTGTCTTCGTTTTTTTCCACCTTGTGACTTAGGTTAAGAAACAAATATTGGATGAAGAAATCTACTGTTCTCCCGAGGCTACAATTTTATTGGCATCTTATGCAGTTCAAGCCAAGGTGAGGCTTTATAATTGTTAGTTTGTCGCCTTTTATAACACATACGCACAGAGTGTTAATTAACACAGAAAAGCATCTGCTGAAGCTTAGCTAGAAATAGGAAGTGGTATATTTTTCTCCTCATCTGTCTCCTTTTTTAGTTTTTTTTTGCAGATTTCTTTAATGAGTACATCATTTAGATTTCAGGGGAGGTCAGTGGATTAAAATGCAGAGTGGAAATTGAAATAAACAAAAAACCACTGGAATAAAATTCAGTTTAGACTGCAGAGGGCATTCTGAGTACAGACAGTTCTAAACATATGATTGTTGCTTAGTGAAGTTATGGCGGATCTAGCAAACAATGCGTTTACTTAACGACTGTGGCTTTCATTTTACAATCACAGCATTCACTTTATGACAATGGCATAAAATGTTGTAAACTTGAGTCAGTCATGTGGGTGACCCATTATACGACCATCATGACTTATGATATATGGAACAGTCATAAGTTATGGTCTGCCTCTAAAGTGATAGTTTTTCTTCCCCACCCCCCTTTTTTCTTAATTAAAAATAATTCTGCAGCATGCATTTGAGGAATTCCTGCATAAAGTCATGTGGAAAGCTCCCCCTTCTAGAAGAATGAAATATTTTGGGAAATATTAAAAATGCAGAATATTATATTTCCTGAGAAACATAGAATAGAATTCTTTTATTGGCCAAGTGTGATTGGACACACAAGGAATTTGTCTTGGTGCAAATGCTCTCAGTGTACATAAAAAAAAGATACATTCATCAAGAGTCAAGAATAATAAGGTACAACACTTAATAACAGTCAGGGTACAATAAGCAATCAAATCATACTAGGAAAAAGTCAATATAAATTGTAAGGATACAAGCGACAAACTTACTGTCATACACTCACAAGTGGGAGGGGATGGGTGATAAGGAGTGATGAGAAAGTTAATAGTAATAGTAGTGCAGACTTTGTAAATAGTTGGACAATGTTGAGGGAATTATTTGTTTAGCAGAGTGATGGCTTTCGGGGGGGCGGGGGGGCGGGGGGGGCGGGGGAAGAGCCTGACTGCTCTTAAAGACAGAAAGCAGACTGAGGCTTTCTTAATAGCCCCCAGAAGTATTTTGTGCCCATTAAGAAAGATTGGACCAGCCTATTCAGAAACAAAAGACCTTTACCTCCAGCCATGGAATTAAAAATTTACATTCTCCTCCACCCAAATTCTAAGAACAGGACATGACCATTTAGGATTAGCCCACTACTATTTAGCAGAAGACACATTGCACAATTTCCTAAGTGCATTTCAGATATTATACAACCCACCCACCCCCAGCAGCATTTCAGGACCTGTATAAAATCCTGGCATTCATCTAGCTAGTTGTTCAGCTGACCCAGGACTGCTGTTGTTTCTGTTCATCATTAAACTTTCTTTCCAATCAGACTCCATTTTATTTTATTCCCGGATTGGACCTGAACCAGATGGATTTTCCTTCCAAGAGTCTCTTCCTGACCTTTCCTCTTCCCTGAGCTGTCCTTCAGAAAGTTAAAGGGGTGTGTGTGTGTAGCTGTAACAGTTCCATCCTACCTTTCTTAGCACTGAACCGAGAGCTGCTATAACCACCCTTGCTAGTTACTGGCAGAAATCAGCCAGCTTTAGTCCAGAACTGAGTTAGATCAAATGAAATGAGGTAAAGTTTTGCCTTTCATTATCCTTAAATGTCTTTGGACATATAATATATAGTCCCAGTGAGATGTCATATTTGTCCCGTTATACTGCTAGTATATTAGGAGATGGCTGGGATTAAATTGTGGGACTCAGTGACACTACATATTTATTGATTGATTGATGAAATTTATACTCTGCTCCAATGTGTTACAACTCTGGAAGGTTTATTAAATGAATCTATAGACACAAATATCATCAGAAATCTGGAAAAACAAACAGCAATCAATAAAAAGAACCCCATAAGAACACTACACTCTGTTGCCCACGTTGTTACCCATTCTGATGCAAGATCTTGGCACTCAATTTCAATAGGGCTGATGGTTTGGCACCAAAGCGCATAATGTTTTGAGAAACCTGTGAATCATGATCTATAAAATTGGTTTAATGATTAAGGTATTATATACATCTATGCATTATTCAACAACCATTGTTATAAAAACTAAGGTTTATAGAGAATGGACAAGTCCAGCTTATGGACAAGCCCAACTTGGATGGTTTGTTTACAAACCCATACTACTAAATTATAGTTCTCTCTTTAAGAGGACATTAAGATATTCTTTTCCTAGTCATCGGTGCTTAAGCTACAGCTGGACCCCTGCTTAATTGTGTTGGTGGAGTTGACAACAAAATCGAAAGGGGATCCATCAAGAGTTATGGCACTGGATTCTTCTTGAGCTGTAAACTAGGGTATGTTTGGTACTAACTGGTTAAATTTCAAGCATATTTTGTCAGTCCTAAAGAACAGGAAGGTAAAATTCTCAGGAAAATGATTTCTGACAGGGTTTTTTTCCTCTCCTGTAGAATTATACCATCCTTCAGATTTCACTTGTAAAAATCTTTTAGAACTTTAGCCATTTTTAATGGTTATTTTATGATCAAATGATTCAGTGTTTTCTCTCTCTTTTTTTAAAGCGTTAATTTAGATCTTATACTATGCTGTTAATTCTTTGCATACGGTCTTCTGCTGTTGACTCATTTGATACTTCTTTCCCTTATAGTATGGTGACTATGACCCAAATCTGCACAAACCAGGTTTCTTAGCTCCAGAAGAGCTTTTGCCAAAAAGAGTAAGTGTTTTCACACTTTCCTGTCCTCCTGGTCGTGAACAGGAAACCTCAGTTACCTAAAATAGCAGAATTAGCCAGATAGGGAGCAACGGATTTGCATGATTCATAAAACAACTTCTTCCCAAAGACCAGCAATTTCTATTTGCCCTTTTTGGACAGATTGTTCCTCTCCTTGTTTTCTAGAGAGAGTGGGAAGTTTTAAAATTCTGATGCTCCTCAGTTCTCAAGCAACTATTGGAGAATGTGAATTCTTAACTATGAAGGAAAGTTTCTCCTTCGAGATATCTTCTCCAGAGAACTCCCGGGTAATGAGCTCAGAACTGAGTTATAATCTGATGTTGGTGTTTCTATTCTTCTTTCAGATAGAATCCAGACTGCTCTTCACAAAAGGGGAATTTATGACAAAATCAACCTAAAGTTAGCAGTGTTCTATTAAGTTGCCAACGAGCTGAAAGACTTCTGGAAATGGGAGACAGTTTGCTCAGGAGTGGGCTTCAAAAATTTTAGCAAAGGGTTCACTGCCCAGTTGCTGGGTGGGTGAGGCCATGGTGGGCGTGGCCTAGTGGGCCTCCTGCGCCATGGCAAGGGTGTTGTTGTTTTTGCCCTCCTTAAGCTCCAGAGGCTTTCCTCGAGCTTCCAGGAGGGTGAAAACGGCTTCCCTGGGCTCTGCAAGCTCTCTGGAAGCTGGAAACGGGCCCATTTCCGGTCTTCCCGAACTTCCAGGAGGCCCATTTTTTGATGTCCCCAAACCTCCATGCGCGCGCTGCACTTACCTGCATCCAAAACGGGCTGCCTGGGAGGGGCGGCGTGGGTGGAGCAGGGCCAGCCAGGAGTGGGATCTGGGGGTTCTCTGAATTACACAGAATCTTAGCTAGGGACTCTCCTGAACCCCTGCGAACCCCCAGCAGCACACCCCTGAGTTTGCTTCTAATCCTGCAACATTTTAAGTTATATACACTTCTGCAGGACTTTCCAGTTTGTCATACCTGCATGAACAGCCTTCTTGAGGTTTGAAAAATAAATACTTTTTCCACTGTTTTCTTTTTGTCCTTTATTTTTCTTTTATCTAGGTTCTCCGTCAATATCAGATGACGCCTGACATGTGGGAAGAAAGGATTACTGCCTGTTATGCTGGACACCAAGGAATGGCCAGGTACTGCAGCACCCTTTGCTTGTAACTGTAGTTTGGAAAAAAAGGACTCACATCCATTAGCATCTGGTATGCTGGGGAGGGCAGTGACACACTTTCTGCCCCTTCCAAATTTGTGTGCAACACTGTGATGCAAGTTACACTCCTTCCATATTTTTGTGCAACATCATGACAAAAGGACAAAGGGCAGGGTTTCAGTTTCTATCGATTAAGGCATCAAGCTAGAAACAAGGAGGCTGTAAGTTCTAGTCCCACCTGTGGGATGAAAGCTGGCTGGGTGACTTTGGGCCAGGTGGCTCTCAGCCCAACTCACCTCACAGGGTTATTGTTGTGGGGAAAATAGGAAGGAGTTCATGGTGTTGAGTTATTTATAAAAATAATAAAAGTAGGATAAAAAAAATCAGGATGTCACAATACACATTTCATGACTTTGACACTCTGCCCATATTCATTTATTCTTTCCATGGAACATATTAGAAGCCAACCCTAACCCTTGAATTCACTTCTTGACACAAAGTTTGATCGAAACAGGTGGGAACTCAGAAACTCATGTTCTCTCATCACTCTGCTCCTGGTTGTTGATCTCACTGCTAGGCAAGATGGGCGGCATACAAATTTAATAAGTCAATAAATAACTAGTTTTTTCAGCACTTCATTTAAAGTACTGGTTCCAGTCTTTTTAAGAGTAAACGCAACATGTCTGCTTAAAAATGATCTTTTTCGAGAATCTGACCATCACTGTTTGTGGCCTGCTCTGTCCAAAGCTTTTAGATGTTTGACAGATTGTCCCAAGAGCAGAACCTTTTACATAGCATTATCAGGACTTCAAAATATCCTTCCAGAAAAGGCATTTTTCAATTGGGGATCATTTAGCTGAATGTAAAACTTGTCCCAGCATATTTCCAATTTGTTTTTGATGTGCCAAGTGAAGCTATTTCTATGTCATGGTGGAATTATTGGGTCTGTCATCTGCACCCCTATAACTGTCTGGTTTGCTTCTGAAACCCAACAAGACAGACACAGGCTTCAGAGAGTAATTAGGACTGCAGAAAAAACAATTGCTACCAACCTGCCTTCCATCGAGGACTTGTATACTGCACAAGTCAAAAAGAGGGCTGTGAAAATATTTACTAAGCCCTCACATCCCAGACAAAAACTGTTTCAACTCCTTCCCTCAAAACAATGCTAGAGAGCACTGCACACCAGAACAACTAGACACAAGGACAGTTTTATCCCGAACGCCCTCATTCTGCTAAACAAATAATTCCCTCAACACTGTCAAACTATTTACTAAGTCAGCATTACTATTATTATTAATCCTTCCATCCTTCCTTTCATTCATCCCCTCCCACTTATGACTGTATGACTGTAACTTTGTTGCTTGTATCCTAACAATTTTTATTGACTGTTTCCTAGTATGATTTGATTGCTTTTTGTACCCTTATGACTATTATTAAGTGTTGTACCTCATGATTCTTGACTCTTGAAGAATGTATCTTTCTTTTATGTACATTGAGAGCATATGCACCAAAACAAATTCCTTGTGTGTCTAAACACACTTGGCCAATAAAATATTCTATTCTATTCTATTCTATTCTATTCTATTCTATTCTATTCTATTCTATACCACTCCACTCCACTCCACTCCATTCCACTCAAATTGTCCCATCTACTCATGTGATTTTTTATAGAGGCTATAGTGCAACTTGTAAACCACTTTGATTAGCAATGGTAATAAGGCTAGACAAAAGTATTTCACAGTCGGTAAATACAGCCTGGGGTGACAGTAATATAGATCAATGTTTCCTTTATAAAACAAGAATAATCCTTTCCAAGTCTTTTTAAAAATAAATATCCCATTCTTCTAGATACGAAGCTGAGATGAACTATCTTAAAATAGCACAAGACTTGGAGATGTATGGGGTTAATTATTTTCCAATTGCTGTAAGTATGTATGATTTTTAATGCATCTGATTCAGATTTTTCTGACAGTCCCAGATGTTTGATTGTAAATCCTTTGTGCCCCAGCAATATTGCCAGTAAAAAAAAGGGGGGTTATAGGTGTCATTCATAAATTTTGAGAGTCTCATCAGCATTGCCTGTTGGGACCTGGAGCAATTTGCCTGACTTAAAAAGTGTTCTCTGTTTTAAAATGCCATGACTCTTAAGCAGATCTTTTGGTCTTACATTTTTCAATGTGTATTCATGTTAGATAACATAAGCGTAAATTCTAGTTTATAGATGCCCGATGTTTGACTCTTTTGCATGAAGCAATGGGGAAGCAGCTACCAAGGGGCAAAAGTACTGGTTATGTACTTCATTGTAGTTGAGCTGCAGTAAGGATAATTAAATAAGACAATAAAATTCCCAGTTAAGGCAGGTGTTTACAGATATAGGTAGTCCTCAACTTATGACCACAATTGAGCCCCAAATTTATGTTGTTAAGTGAGAAATTTTTAAAGTGAGTTTTACCCCATTTTATGATTTTTCTTGTCACATTTGTTAAGTGAATCACTGCAGTTTTAAATTGGTAACATGGTTGTTAAGTGAAACTGGTTTCTCCATTGACTTTGACTCCTGAATCCAGCAACTGTCATAAATATGAGTCGGTTGTCAAGAATCCAAATGTAAATCCATGTGACTATGGGGATGCTGCAACAGCCATAAGTGTGAAAAATGTGCATGAATCACTATTTTCATTGCCGTTGTAACTTTGAATGGTTACTAAGCGAATTGTTGTAAGTCAAGGACTACCTGTTGTAAGTCAAGGACTACTTACAACCATTAATTTACCAACTGTTTGAAGTTAGAACAGCACTGAGAAAGAGTCACCTAAACTGCAAGATGGGAAAGGAAGGAAGGAAAAGAAAGAAAGAAAGAAAAAGAAAGAAAGAAAGAAAGACTTACAATCAGTTCTTGCACTTACAGTACAGCTGTTGTAGTGTTCCTGTAATGACCCGGGGTGGGATACAAAATAAACACAGTCACAAAAACAGCTGAAGCCCCTTTTATTCCTTCATTTTGCTTCAAAGCTCCAAATATCGTGGACTGGAGACAAAAAAACTCCCCCACAAGCAGTTACGAAAAGGAGGAAATGCCGTTTAAATTATAAAGAGTAAAAACAACACAAACCACACTGAAGCAATTAAGGGAACCAGGCAAGATAAGGGCTTGAAGACGTCCACAGATATCAGAACCCACACACTGGGAAGGACGCCAAACTCAGAGAGGAACGACAGACTAGAGATCTTTCCACACTTTGTTTCCAGCACTGGCCCATACGCATGTCCGTCCTTTTAACCAGTTCTCACAGCTGCAGCCCATGAAGAGGATCAAGGCCCTTTCTTCCCCCGTAGACCACACCATTCACGTCTCTCCCTTATCCTCTCCTCTACTCGTGCCCTAGGATGGAGAGGGGATCGGCCTGGGTCTTCCTCTGCCTGCCCAGCCTCCTCCACAACCTCCGGAACCACACTTCCACTCTCTGTTGGCTATTCCTCCTCTCCCTCAGAGTCAGACTCCAACAGGGGCATGACAGTTTCCATCATCATGTGATCAAAATTTAGGTGCTTGTCAACGGGTATGCATTTACGATGTCTGCAGTGTCCTGGAGTCACGGATAACCATTCCCAACCAGCTTCTCGCAAGCAAAGTCAACGGGGGAATCTGGATTCACTTAACAACTATGTGATTCACTTAACAACCTTGGCAAATAAGGTGGTAAAATTGGGCATGACTCAGTTAACAACCACCCTGTTTAGCAATAGAAATTTTGGTCTTCATTGTGGTCATAAGTCGAGGAATATCTGTGCCATGAACCTGGAACTATGAAATGTGCATTTTAGGTCTAATTACCGTATATACTTGAGTATAAGTTGACCCGAATATAAGCCGAGGCACCTAATTTTACCACAAAAAACTGGGAAAACTTATTGACTCGAGTATAAGCCTAGGGTGGGAAATGCAGCAGCTACTGGTAAATTTCAAAAATAAAAATAGTTACCAATAAAAACTTTCACTAGGACAGTTAATAAGTTTGATGTTCACAATTTCCTCTTTGAAAGAGACCAGTAAATAGGGAACAAGAAGATGAAGAAAAAGAAGTGTGTTTTTTCACACTTTTCACACTGCAGTGAACAAAAATGGCATCATAGGAACAGGCTTATTCTCAGTCCAAAGGTTTGTTTCTGATTTCTTCCCTGATTTAAGGGAAATTTGGGAAACGATCTCACTATCAAGAAAGGTTTAATTGATTCACTAACCCAAAAGAAGAAGATGATGACAGTGGGAGGCAGGAGTCACTCTCTCCCTTGCAAGAAAAAAGCAAGAGCCGTTCTTAGGATCTCTCTCTCTCTCTCTCCCCGGAATACAGTCAAGCCCTTTCCAGCATGCACGATCCGCCGCTGCCGCTTTGCACCTTGCAAATGAAAAATCCCGGGGTTTTTGCATTTGCAAGGTCCAAGCGGCAGAGGCGGTTCGCACGTGCTGGAAAGGGCTTGACTGTATTCCGGAGAGAGAGAGAGGTGGGGGGGATCATAAGAACGGCTCTTGCTTTTTTCACCAGCCCCGGGCACTGGGGGCTTGCAAGGGAGAGAGTGACTCCTGCCTCCCACTGTCATCATCATCATCTTCCTTTGGGTTAGTGAATCAATTAATTTGGGAAACGATCTCACTATCATGAAAGTCAGCGTTCTCTGCCCGTGGGGCGTTTGGAAGAAAATGCCCCACGGCATATCCACGTGCGTGTAAGGGGAATCAGAAATCCCCGTGTTCAACGCCTAGCATGGCAGAAGAGAAAACGCAGCTGTGAGCAAATACTGGGAAAACCTGATTGATCAGAAGGAAGGAGGCAAAAGAGGGAGGGGTGGTGGTGGACGGAGGTCCCACTGGTATTTGTGAAACACTCGGTCGGCAGCGCTTAAAGTCAACGTCCTCGCTCCCACCCACCCACCCAAAGCCACGAAGTCCCCCAATCGCGCAGCCCAGAATCGCCCTCCCCTCAGGGGGCAGCAACGACGCCCAGCATTTCCCAAGAAAAGAAGCTCCGCGTGCAATGAAAGCGCCCTGGCTCTAGGCTCGCGGGCTCAAAAAACAATGCAAGCCGAGGTGGCTTCTGCTCCGCTGGGCTTCGTTTCCTCAGCCCCAGCTGCTTTCAGTCTGCTCGGGAGGAGGAGGCGGCGGCGGAGGAGGTGGTAGTGGTGGCTCGCGTTGTTTTCTGAGCCCGCGAGCCCAGAGCCAGGGCGCTTTCATCGCACGGCGGAGCTGGTCTCGGGAAACGCCAGGCGTCATTGCTGCCCCCTGAGGGGAGGGTGATTCTGGGCTGCGCGATTGGGGGACTTCGTGGCTTTGGGGGGTGGGTGGGAGCGAGGACGAACGGAGTCTGCGAAGTGGGGCTTGCCTGCCCTTGCTGGCTGCCTCTGCTTCCTTAGGGGCGGGGAAGAGGGCTCATCTGGACCAAGGGTGAGTCTCCCCCTCAGGATCTTCCGTCACTTTTGCCTTCTCCCTATGTCTTTCCTCTGTTAAAATCCCCCACCACCACTTATTTTCGGGCGGATAGATTTCGTGTCTGAGCATTCTCACATGACGGTGGGTCTTTCCCCCCCAAAAAACAGTTTAAAAAAGAAAAAAACAATATATCCTCATGCAAGAACTTTTCTGCTTCCAAGTACCCCCATGCTTACAAGTTGCAAAGGAAACAAGGAAGCAGGGAAGCGGCTGCCCAGCTCCGGAGCTCCACACCATTTTTTTTTCAGAGGGGAATCAGTCACTCGAGTATAAGCTGAGGGGTTTTTTTTCAGCACAAAAAATGTGCTGAAAAACTCGGCTTATACTCGAGTATATACGGTAAGTTGTAATTGGTTGATGTCAGACAGTGAATATATTAACCAACAAAGGAGAATATTTATAGCTCAGGATTGAAATGAGGGATCCTTGGTGCTCTCTCAAGTGGGTTGTTTTCTTGTAGATGTCTCATTTACCCAAATAAAATGATATCATCAGTGCACAAGATGTATATATTGATTTTAATCTTGGACTTCTCTGCAGCAAAAGAAGAATCATACAGACTTCCTGCTTGGGGTAGATGCCAAAGGGATTCATGTCTACAGCATCAATAACCGCTTCTCTCCTAACAAGTCTTTTGAGTGGAGCAGCATCCAAAATATTTCTTATTCTGATAAAGAGGTAGGTGGATGTGCCATGGCAGCAGTCCCCAAGCTTTCTGGCCTTGCAGATCAGCAGTGCGGTGGCAACAGGGGAGGGAGAGGGGATGATTTTTCATTGCATTTTTGCTACATATTTATGAAAAACATAAAACTGTTTTTTCTATTATGCCTATTTTTTATTATTTTGTTAGAATGGTTGTTTTTAATGCTATAGAACTTCCACGGGTCTCCAGTGGAAGCACATTTTGTACAGATGCATCGGGGTGGGATTCAAATTTTTTAACAACCGGTTCTGTGGGTGTGGCTTAGGTGGTGGGCATGGCTTGGTGGTCATGTGACTGGGTGGACATGGCTTGGTGGTCATGTTGGCTGGGCGTGGCCAACTCAACATCACTCACATCGAGGCATGCATCTCCTAGTCTGGCCTCTCATGACTGCGGGGATGCTGCAACAGTCATAAGTGTGAAAAAAGGTCATAATTCACTTTTTTCAGTGCCATTGTAACTTTGAATGGTCACCTCGCAGAAGCAAAGTACCAGCAAAGGAGGGGAAAAAAACTTCAGAGAAGTTCTTGAGACAGGAAGTCTAGTCCTCCCAAGAATGTAATAAGTGTTAACGAAGAGGCAGTTTCTATAAGCAACACCAGAATATTTCCTTCCTGCCTTCCTTACAGGATTAGGCCAGTAATTTCTTCTAACAACCGGTTCTCCGAACTGCTTAGAATGTTAATAACCGGTTCTAGCGAATAGGTGCGAACTGGTAGAATCCCACCCCATATGCATTTAGTATGTAATCATTTTTAAAAAACACCGTCTTTTTTTCTTTCAGCTTATAATTAAACCTATTGACAAAAAAGCCGAGGTTTTCAAGTTCTTCTCCTCACAGCCTAAAGTCAATAAACTGGTGAGTGCTTTCTTATATAGAAGACAATCTGTGGAGTCCATGGTGCTCTCTGAGTTGGTTGTCTTCATGTAGACATTTCATTACCTGATTAGGTAATATCATCAGTGTGAGTGAATGTAGGCTTTGCTCTGTTTATGTATAGTAGCTTGTCCTGCCAGTGTTGGTGGGAGTGTGGTTCTCTTATTTCTGTCCCATTATAAACATGCCCCATTATAATAATGGCCAAACCAATCTATGCTCAATTGGAACAAAGATCATGTGACACTGAATTGGACTGGCTGCCTAGACTTTGCTGAATGATTTTATTTTTAGTAATAACGATTCAAGCCATAAATGATTGTGAGAAAGCAAAAGGGGGAGTGCTTTTTTTCTGACATATACCTATCTAGACATTAAGACATGCAGGGTAAGACTTACTCCACTTCCTATAGCTAGGAGAGCCAAATTAGGTGGATATTTATTTATCTTACAGTGTTTATAGACTGCTCCAGTCAGAACTGCTTTTGAGCAATATACAGTTCCTACCTCTGTTACGTGAACATGAAAACAAAAAGGCAAAATCTATAACATCCATCAAATCATATGCATAGAACTGGAAATACACCATATTCAAACAAAATAGAATTATTATTTATTGGTAGAAAGATCAATCATTCTCCTCAATTCCTAGGGTATGTTGGAACAGCTGAATCTTTTGAAATGTTCTAAACATCAAAGGGGAAGGATCCATTTGGAATCTTTTAACATTCTCATTCAGGACTTAATATTTACAGTATAATTATGCCTTTTGTCCCTTAAAATCTCTGTCAGTTACCAAGATATGCACATGCTACATGCAAGTTCTGTACGTTCCTTCATCAATCTAGAAACATAGCAACTTAGAAACATATGTGTATCTCTCCATTATAACAGTCCTAAATGAAAATCACCTTCTCTCAGGTCCAAGCCAAGTACAGAGATGGAGGTTATCAATGGACCTTTTAAGGGCATTCAGGAAATAATGAAGATTATCAGAATGGGATGGCATTCTGGTTTTTTTTAAAATATTTTCCTACATAGTGGTTGCTGAAAACCAAATCAATCAGAGATGAATTTTAGGTTTACCTGGAGAACTAAATTGAGTTTCCCTTTATACTCTGAATTTTCCAGACATGTGACAGACCACTAAAGGAAAAGGGATACTAGACTTCTCTTGGGTAGTTCCAGAAAGACATTTTCTTTTCTCCTTTCTTGCAGATAATGCAACTCTTCATTGGAAACCATGATTTATTCATGAGAAGGAGGCGAGTGGACCCCATTGAGATCCAGCAAATGAAAGCTCAAGCCAGAGAGGAGAAAGCAAGAAAGAAGGTGACTCTTAGAACTGGTTCAAACGCTGAAGGATTTCACAAAGTTTGCACTCACTTCCAAGCTGCTCAACTGGCAGAAAATGATCAGATATATATCATTATCATTATAATTCTAATGACTTTTTGCCACACTATATTGGTTATGAGTCTCACTGAAAAATTAAAGTGGACAATGTACTTGGAACATTGAGTAGAATTCAAAGAATAGAATATTTGGCCAAGTTTGATTAGATACACAAAGAATTTTTCTTTGATGCAGAAAATCTCAGTGTACAAGAGAGTAATAATAATCATAATAATACCAATACAAGAGGATAGTAGAGAAGGTGAGAAGGATAATAATAATTCTACAGCCATTCATTGTGGGGGAATACAGAGTACTGAGACATAAAGCAATACTGTGAAGGTTAGGTGTTCAGTAGAGTGATGGCAATGGCATGAAGAAGAAAAAAAACTGTCCTTGTGTCTAGTTGTTTTGGTATGTAGTACCGTATAGCAGCATCCGGAGGGAAGGAATTGAAACTATATGTCTAGAATGTGAGGGGTCTGCAGTTATTTTTAAAAGAAAAGTAGATTTTGATCTATTTTGAATCCTTCTGTATATATAACAGTGAGAAGTTTAATACATGGGTTTTATTTTTTTTTAAAAAAAAATCAGGAACAAAAACCAGAACTTCCTCCTTCTCTTCTTTCTGATATTTTATTGTATCTGTTGTGCTGTTTGCTGTGCAGATTTTCCTACTCCAGAGAAGTATTCCTGGACAGTAAAAAAAACAACCCTACACTACAAATAAATATGAAATCAATAATGTAAACCTGCAGTTAATTTTGGGAAGATTGATTTGTAAGATGACTGGATAGGGTTTGCAAAGGATAGGTCCCAGCCCCTGGAAGGTTACAGTTGAAAAGTACGTAATATAAGAGGAGGACTGGAAAAACAAGAACAAGGTGAGCCTGGCTGCATTGCGTTGTGCAGTTCTTGCAGATGTCCAACCTCGCTCATTCTCCTCAGATGGAGCACCAGAGGCTGGCCAGGGAGAAGCAACTGCGGGAGGAAGCCGAGCGAGCCAAAGAAGAACTGGAACGACGCCTCTTTGAGGTGGAAGATGAAGCTCGGCAAGCTAATGAGGCTCTGGTGAGTATCGCTGTGGCAATGAAGCCTAGTGGTAGGTGGTCCAAGGGCTTCTGGTCAATTAAGTGTCTTCATTTTGCACCCACTTAAATTTTTCATTTCATTTATTATTTTATTTTATTTATTTTTTAAATTGATATGCCACCATCTCATTATCCAGAGAGCCTCTGGGCAGCTTATCATATGAGATGCTTGTTTTTGAATTCTCTTCCAGCGCCGTTCAGAGGCAGCAGCAGAATTGCTGGCTGAGAAAGCTCAGATAGCTGAGGAGGAAGCCAAGCTGTTGGCTCAGAATGCTGCCGAAGCTGAGCAGGAGCGCCATCGATTGGAGTTGGCGGCCTTGAAAACCAGCGAGGAGAAGCGACTGATGGAGCACAAGATAAGGGAGGCCGAGCTGATTGCCATGAAGCTGGTGAAGGAGTCCGATCGAAGGTGACACTCCATGCTAGAAACTTAGTTGGTCATTCTGCATGTGCTTCCTCAGGTGTTTTTGATGAAAAACATGTGTACAGGTAGTCCTTGACTTATATGATTGGTCACTTAGCAACCATTTGAAGTTACAGCCTATCTGGAAAAAGGGAGTTATGACTGCTCCAGAGTTCCAGCAACAGTGTTCTGACTGTTTTATGATGGTTTTGCTGAAAACCGGAAGTTAATCCTAGTTTTTAGCAAGACAATGCCACAGTAAACAATGGATTTCCTTAATAATCATACTATTTGCTTAATAATCATTGCTAAAAAGGTCATAAAATTGGGTCAGTCACATGACTGATCCATTTTATGACTGACAGGCTCCATTATGGTCATATGTCAAGGACCTGCATTTCTGAAAGCTGCCTAGACTCTAGAAAACTCCTTGGATGTGTTTGTGAAATCATCAAGAATCAGTTTTTTTTAATTTGTGACACATCTTGATTTTTTGGACTGTATCCTGCTGGCATTCTGGTTCCTGAATGTTAGAGGGATTCTTGGCAGTATAAACAGCAAAAGTTCACGCTTATATGAAAAAGTAATTTTAAAATTATATTTAAAGAAGCATTTCTAATTGTTTTTAATTGTAGTTATCATTAAACTGCGTATTTAAATTACAAATTAAAATTTAAACAATAGTATTTAAATCCACACATTTTAAAGTTTTAAAATTGCACATGAATGTGGAAACAAGTGAATAATTACCTCTTTTCTACTAATCTCCCAATTATTAACTTAATATTAGGATTGTAATCTTTCTGAGTATAGAAAAAAAAATAGAAATTAATATGGTGAGATCCTTAATGAACTGAGGTTTAGCAGTTACCATGGTTCCCTAATAGCATGTATTCTCTTAGGTTTTGCTTTTGAGCCATGAGGTAGCCACAGAAACCCCATCTATTATCAAAGTTGACTGAAGCCTATTGTGCTTTCCGGGCATTAGTTAAGGACTGTCTTTGAGAAATGAGGATTGATTTGCTTATGATGATAATTTGGCTTCATAGGGCCAAAGAAGCTGAGCATTTAAAACAGGACCTACAGGAAGCCAGAGAAGCGGAAGAGAAAGCAAAGCAAAAGCTTCAAGATGTCAGCAAGTTTACCTCTCCTGTGAGTTTTGTTTTGTTTTTTAAATCATGATAGAATAACAATGATTTAATTTATCCTTAGGTAAAGGATAATCCTGCAGTAGGTAGACTCTCTTTCCATCCACTAAAGTTGTCTGGAAAGCAGAGAATCATGGGCAATGTAGTATTCCATTAAAAGTATCTCAACATCTTTTTCAGCTAGAATTATGGGGTGTCTTCCAAGGAAGGACTGATTAAAAAGAAAAATGTGAATACTTGGTGCTCTCTTTGAGTTTAATTATTTGTTTGCAGATGTCTTGTTACCCAACTAAGAGATATCATTGGTATTGATGTTATTTGCAATGTTGTTAGCTGGTTGGGTAATGAAATATTTGCAAGCAGACAACCAAGTTTAGAGCTACGTTCCTGAGCTAGATATTCTCTCCTATTAAAAAAGGAAATATTTAAAGTTACCAAACATAGAAGGGTAAAATGATACAAACACAATGACATTGTGTTTGTAATTGATGCTTTCAGGGTAGAGTTTGTTAACCTCAGGCAAACTGAGGAATCTGTTTCTACTAGAGCCTATCCACACAACTTCCACTCAGATCTGTGCTTGGCTGTAATTATGCCATCCAGTGGTGTGTTTCTGTAACATTTTCTGCATAAATTCACAGTTGCATAGCACAATCCCATGTGTTCAAAATCTATTCCTAAACGATATAGGATTCAATATCATAGCTTTTTGTTTTTGTGGTCTTTTCTAGCATACTGTCAAATGTATTTCATCTCTGCCTGCTGACACGAGGGACACCAGTGGTGACAAAGGATTTGTAAAGATGGATTTAAGGGACATTGATCTGAAGAGGCTTTCCTTGGAGATAGAGAGAGAGAGGTAGGATTGTCTTCCTGTAGCTGAAATAAGGCCAGGCAGATTCCAGAATCAGAATATTAATGATGTGCCCGAATGGAATTCTTCCCACTTTGTATCTTTATTCAGAAACTTATTTTGCTTCATGTTATATATTGGCAGGTATTGCTGCTCAGCATAGAAATCATATTCCCAATGCTAGAAATATTAGATCCCTTGCTAGTTTCTGCACATCTATATGAACTCAATGATCTCTTGCCATCAGAACAGAAGCTTTGCTTAAAATAGACCAAATGAGGTAAAGGGGATCTTTTGAACTTTTTATCTGAAATCTGAGCAAAGGCTACTTCAGGAATCATCTTTCTTTGCCACATATGGGACAATTCATTTGCATAAATTGAGGGCTATACAGCATAAATCTTCCCCTCTTCAAAGCAAGGATGGTGTGTCCTTTCTATGATAATCAGAGGACATGGACTTAGTAACAGCATCTGTGAAAACTGAGTCCAAAAAAAGAGTGCAAACACTGCATCTAAAACATACTTAATGTTTGCTAGATTATGAGTATACAACTTTTTTTACCTGTAAGATCCACACAGGTTATCCATCAGTAGTTTGGGAGCCTCAAGTTTGAGGCAAACTCATCCCAAATTATTCAATTTGGGAACTGTATTTGGTCCCACACATGGGACCACAGGTGTAAGGTACAGCTTTGTTAGGTTGATCCATTAGGTTCTCAGGCCCTGAAATCTGTTCTTAGTCCCAGATACTAGTTCTGGGTCAGGTACTATTTTAATTATGTTCACAGCCCATTTGATTATCTCTACTCTGTTTACTTTTTTGTTTTGTCTGTGTTTCATAGGTTAGACTACTTAGATAAGAGTAGAAAGTTTGAAGATCGGCTAAAAGAACTCAAGACTGAAATCCATGCTCTCAAACTTGAAGAGAAACACGCCGGATTTCTTTCTCATTGGAACATAATCCTTGACTCTTTGGATCATTCATCAGAGAAGGAATACAAGGTTCCCATATAGTCAAGCATTTATTTCTTAAATTTGTAACAAATGCATACAAAAATAGCATTTTAGTACTCTTTCAAAAGTCCACTAGAAGTGTCTTCCTGGCACTTGCAAGCTTGTTTAAAAACAATGACTTTTCTTTTGTAATTTATTCCTGGATCTATGGCCGAAATATTTAGGACTGTCATAATGATTCCAGTGATTATAAAAACTGGCAAGTAGGAATGGGTTTCACCTTTATTCAACGAAATTAATAAATATGGTCAAATAAACTTCAATACTAAAAAAGTATAAAAACTGCTGATGGTATGTAATGTTAGAAAAAGCTTTCTTTATTGAGAGATTACCTCTTTTCTCATGTGGAAGAAAGCAAACCATCTTAAAAAATAAATCGGACTTAGTCATATACAGTTTAACAAAGATTTTACCAACGAACCAAACTGCTTTGACCTAAAGTACTTTAACTGAGTACAATAGAAGTTGTTTTCCACCAGATTAAAGGTTTTAAAATTGTCTCTCTTATTCTGTATTAACCAATTGCAGCTTTTCAGGTTCTGCTGAAGGACGCTTTCTCAATCCCAGTATCTGATCATTGAAGCAAGAAAGACCAGGCACTAAACTTGATAGTCTTGTGTATTTTAGCAGGAACACCAATAAAGGGTCAAAACAAGGCAGAGCCTGTGTTCCACACCCTCCTGTTTCCATAAGCTTCATTCTTATTTTCTCTGTCCTTGTCCTTAAGCAAAATCCCCTAAGCTCTGGGAGTTCTCCACAGGATGTTTTTCTTTTCTTTTTTTTAAATATATTTTGATTGAGTTTCTTTTATTACATCGTAAAACATCATGGTATCAACAGCGTTCTTGGCATCTGTACAGGTTTTTGGTTTAAATATCATAATACATTATATTACATTTGTTATTATTATATATTATATTATATATTATTATTATTATTTATATATTATTATATAATAGCTTTAACTATGATTACTATTCTTATATCGTTATATAATTTACAAACTTTTGTTTTACTTTCTTAAGGAATATTTCAGTTAGGCTTTTTGCCTCGCTTCTTAGTTCGCCACAGGATGTTTTTCTTGTTGCCACCACTAAATTATTATTTGATTTAGAAATTATTTTCTACCTTTCCCATATTTGTCCTTTTACCTGCACTGCACAAATCCTTCTCCCTTTCCTCTTCCTTCTGAATTACACAAATTTGGAGGTGGGGCTTGCATTGTCCTGTCTTGAATAGCAGTTCTATCACCCAATCATCTTCGACATTCTTCTCCTGCTCCTGAATCTTTGGGTAACTACCCTTTCAGGGAGAATGACTAATAGTACAGTTGTTTCTGTAGTTTATCCCTATGAAGCTTACTTTTAGAGATGCTTCAACCTGATCCATTTTTTGAAGGTGACTCTCCAGAAGAAGAAAAAAATCACTTGAATAATAATAATAGGATTCTTGTAGAATCCTGAGTTGATTTTATGTATTATCCAAGCCAATGCAATATTCAAAGTTAATCATGGACATTATATACTATTTAAATTTTTTATATTCTGTAAGCCGCCTTGAATCGCCATGGGCGAATAGGTGGCAATATAAATTCAATAAATAAATAAGACTTCTGGAAATAATAATTTCTGCATTTCACACAAGAGCATTTCAGTCCTTCATAAAGGGACAATTTCCAGACCAAGGGAGTTAAATTGATTTTTTTGGCTTTCAAAATGTTTCGTGTTATTCTGAATAAACATAAAACCTCAATTAATGGCTAATATACTGCTTTTTTAAAGGCTCCTGTTTGGATGAAAACCCTTGAAGCAGACCTGTTTAATAATCTGCCACAGTCCTTTTCACCATCATGCCTGCTAAATGTGATTGAGAATACCATGCCCAGTACAGCAACAGAAAACTCTTTTCCAACCCATCCCCTGGTTATCAATAACATGGAAACAGGACGCCGAAAGCACATTAAGGTAACCGGCTTGAATTTCATTTTCAGTATTCCATATGTCCTATCTACCAATCTTTTCCTTGGATTATGTGTCTATATCTTGATGAAGTATTTATACAATAGTTGGTTCTCAAGATTTAGGTTAGCCCACTCTTTGAGCTTCTGCTCTGGAAACCACACGGATGCTTTGGGATACTTGTGACTGGACACAAAGTGTAGTTATTCCTTGTTCCTTATCTTCAATGTGCCATTGAATTTGGAAGTACTATTCAGCTCCTGGGTCCAGCTGACAGATCTACTCCCAAACAGTCAGTCAGTCAGCCAGTCTATCTCACTAATTTCACATTCACCTCATCTGTTGTTGACTTCTTTTTCCATTTAATGTCTTTTCCCAAAGAAAAGTCCAAGAATAATCAGTTCTTTCAAAACAAGTATTAAAGGGAACAGGAAAGGAAAATACCCAGTCAATATGATAGCCATGCAATCAGAATTTTTAAGTCCCACAGTGAGATTTTTAACGGTATATGGAGATCTTCTACCATATCTCTGTGAGCTATTGGATGAGGGGAGAGCAGATAATTCTATGGGGGAGAGGGAAGAGTGAGAGGGAGGGAGTGAAGGAGGGAGAAAGATTTGTTTTAACGCCTTCTTCAAATACCAATCATACCTGTTGTATGTGAACATTTGATCCATTATACAACTGTGGTTTAGAAATGATTTTTTCACTTCTTGGCGTAGGAAGTGATGAGATTCCATTTTATTCCTATTCTAATATCAATTTTAGACTGCTTCTTTATACAGTTGCCTTTTTTTAAAGAAACATATCATCTTTTATTCTGTACCTTTAAAATGTTTCAACTCCATCTGCTGTAAGTTATGTAATCTATTTGCCTTATACTCAAATATCTTTTATATTTTCTTTATGGCTTCTTAGGTCCAACAACACAAAACAGATGTGATCTATATCTGAAGCAACAGAATGATCAGATATCCAACTCAAGTTATCCATCCAAAGATTTCCAGACTACTTTCATATTCTGGGGGAAAAAATGCAGCTGCTGCTTAAAGCATAAGAATGGAAATATTTCTTTTCCATTCGTAGGAAGTGGTGCTCATATTCTGATATAGAAATACCTAGGTAATACTAGCCAACTAGAGATCTAAGTCTGCAAATCTAATACACCTTACTATTTAATACATCATCTTGAAAGTAATTGAACATTTCTATTGGATTACTTGAAGATTTGTCATGCCGATATATGTTTGTAAGAAGAATCTTAAGAAATTCAAACAGATCTATTCTACTACGTTCCCAAAGTCAGCTCTATTAAGTTACTTGAGAGTTAAGAACTGAGTTGTATATTCATTGAAGAATTATGAACATGCTGTTAAATTTCATTAAAGGCAATGGGATTGTATCAATTAACTAGATTAAGGTTCTGTACATTTAGAATTTTTCATAAAAGTGGAAATGTAAATTTATGATGGCGAATATTTTTATTTTTGTAAAGTGTTCTACAATTACTTTGTCTTTCTGATTAAAGGACAAAATTCTAAACGCCCAAATCTGTTTATTAAAACAGAATCAGTGGGAATGCTATATATGTCCTTAAGCCAAAACTGGGTTGGGCTTGTTCAGCTCTTTTGCTAAAAATAGAGCCTGATCCTATTCACACACTGAATGCTCAAATGTAAACGTATTTATTATTCTGCCATGTAAAGAACTGCAGCCAGGAGTTCCTTCTGAGAACAGAAACTTAGGATTGTGCTCTTATTTAACTTGTATCCCATCCTACGATGAATGAGGCTTTAAAAAAAATATATGATGAAAAAGAGTTTGGAACAAGAAGTAAGGTAATATGCTTATTTTAATGCCGGTATCTAAATAAAAAGTCTGTGTTTTATGTTTCTTAAAATTCAAAGCAACATAAATCTTCCATCAAACATTTTATTCTCTTCCTGTGAGAAATGAAACAGCAGGAAAATAAGCCAATGAATAAGGCTAGAAATAGGTTTGGTTTTCCTTACAAGCCGCTATTGAAGACCACTATTGAAGCTTTCTTGGCACTGGTGTTCTTCAATTACTTGATTCCAGTTGATGTGTCAACTGGCTGTTCTGATCACAACAGGGTCATGTCTTTTTCCTCACAGTAGCCATGCTTTCTTGCAATATTGCGCACATACAAGCTTCAAATGGCTAGACAGAGAACAAGCCATTTGACATTCAACAGAGCTACCACTTCCATTATGGAAGTTTGTAGTACCTGACCCAGGAGAATAAAGCCAACTTCTAAACAGAACATATTTGGTACATGCCTTGTGAGCTGTCCCATTGAAATGGCACCTGGCCTATACTTTTTCAATTCATCCTCTCTGGCGAGAGGAGGGTTATCTTACTGGGAGTATATTAGCAGCTGTCAAGACAACCTTATATCATTTACCCCAATACTCAGAATTACAGCAGTGTGGTTATCTTTAGTGTCACTTTAAAAAAAATATGATACTGGAAGTCGATTTCTGAATTGTGGAGGTACTGTGGGAATAGCAACAGTGATGACACTGGGAAAAAGTTGATGTCTGGATGAGTTTTTAAAAGAGAAAATATTTGTCCCTATTGCTTAGTTTCTCATATTCTGCTTAACAAAGTAAAAAGCCAGTTGCAGAACTGAGTTAGGTCCTATCACAAGGACCAAAATTGCTTTCATCAACCTGAAGACTCTTTGAATTGGTAAATAGCTTCTCCCAGCATTAATAGCCTTGACCATGCTGGCTATTAAATTCTAGGAAATGCAGATACTTGGAAGGGCACTTGGGCTGGAAATAATGGACTAAATTTATGGATGGCTTCCTGAATTTGAGCCAATACTACTTGATGGGGAGCCAAAAAATTATGAGGTTCTGGAAGAGAATTCAACTCTTTGCTTCACATAGGAGAAATACAACTCAAAGATGATCCTACAATATAGTGTCAGGCAGATATATTTTTCAAGTCTTCGTTCTCCCTCACCATTTGCTAACATATAGCGGAGTCATCAAGGAAGATAACTTTACATATCCATGCCACATAAATGAGGCTGTAGGAAATTATAGTGCTTATCGCCAAAAAATAGTGGAGGAAGAGGAAGCAATAAATTTTATTCATATACGGACAAACTTTGTGAGTAGAACACCTTGGAGTTCTTGTTAGTCATATAGTTGAAAAATTAAATCACTAACACTACTGAGCTTTGTGGGCAAGAGATTAGGATGATAGCTGAAAGGTGCTTGTTAAAAAAAAAGTCGAGGATAGGCATCATGGAAACATCCCCTCACCTATGCTTTGGTATCTTCCTTGGCATATTAATGACAGCTTATAGACTGTAGTTGGTTTAAATTATTCATTAGAGAACTTGTTTTAAAAATCTAAGGATTTCCGAATTTAAATTTGACATTCTATAATAGAAATTATTGTGATGTTGTACATCAATATTTATAATATATATGAGAACTTTAAAGTGTCTGAGGAAGTAAAAAGTGCAGTTTTCCTCAAAGAGCCCCCTTACAGTTTGCACTAGGAACTCCAAGGATTGTAAGAAAATGACAAATATCAGGCAAGGCATATTTTGTTCTTTTTGACAGCAGCCCTATTAGTTTACTCATAAGAAATCAAGCTCACTTCAGAGTTTTGTATTGACAATGAAGTGATCTCTGTTCTTTTGTCTAGTTATAACAAATGTTTTCTAAATTAAGTTATTGTATTTTTTTTCCAAAATAAAATTTCTGAACAACTTCTGGTTTCAGTGTCAAGTCAGTATTTTTACAATTTCGCCTGGAATAAAGACTGGGATCAAACTCAATAAATTCCAAGACTGACTCTGGAAAGATGGCCGCTAAACTCTTTTGATGGTCTGTAAATCACCACCCACAGAATTGAGCTATTGTATAATTAGGACAATATTATTATTGTTCAGTCACTTCCTTCAAAGCGACCAATGGCTGTCTATCTCATAGTTTACAAATCCTGCTGGTAAATCCAGACTCGTTGACTGTGCTTGTTTTGAGGAAACCTGAGTTATTAACTCATGATGTTAATTCTGCAGTCAATTCCTTCCTTGAAGCCTTCTGCTTTTAAGAAGAGGCATTTTGGCACTTAACACAAAATTGTCACTTTGCAGTTACACTCAAAACAATCAACACAGGAGTGAGTAAACAGTGTAAAATCCCTTTGTTGTTATCAGATAATCTAAGGGCTAAGTGGGTTTATAAGGTTCCTTTAGCTGATACCAACCATCGAAGTTTGGGGAAGGAGCAGAGGACTAATAACTATATAAAACCTCAAATGGAAAAGAGCAAAGGTCAATCCTCAATGAGGCAACTCTAGGATGCCTTTTAATACAGTCTTTGCACAGCAACACCACAGGCACCCAATCATTCCAGGCGTTCATCACCTTCTTCAACATCTTTCAGGCTGAGCACTTCAAGGGTTCCTTTGCCTTTGGTTTCACACCTGATCAATTCATCGATCTCCCGGAAGCAGCCTGGATCCACAAGGCACACCTGCAACATTAGCACTATATTAGACTGGAAAGGCCATATCTTACAAAGAACTGCCCTGGTGAATAAGACCAAAGTGAACCCACCATCTTTCTTCTCAAAGTAACTTACAGGTAGTCCTTGACTTATGACAGCAATTGTGACTGGAATTTCTGTTGCTAAGAGATATGGTCCTAAAGCTTGGTTGCATCGCTTGGCAACGATAATCCCCACCATCCCATTTGTCGTCATTCCCATGGTCATTAGGAAAGGGAACTTCTTTTAAGTAACCAAGTCACCAGGAAAACTGGCAGGAAGTTGCAAGTCCCAAATGGCTTGCAAGCAGGTTGGTATGCAGTTAAGTGGCTGCTGTCGAGTGAGGGAAAGGCACAAGGAAAACCCGGGGATGGTGCACAAAGGTATGAGGGAAGCACAGGGAGAGTGTGAGAAAGAGACATGGAAGAAATGAGGCAGGGGATGCGGGAGGGGAAGATTTATCCCAATGACTTGTGACCTTCCCTACCAGCTTTCCTACTGACTTTCTGGAAAAGCTGGCAGAGAAGGTCACAAATGACAATCATGCAATTGTCGGATGCTGCAACTGCCTGAAAGCCCAATGCCAAGCAGTCAGATTGCCATCACATGACTGCGGGGCAATGGTGGGATTCAAACATTTACTACTACCGGTTCTTTGGGCCTGGCTTGGAGGACGCGGTGTGGCTTGGTGGGTGTGGCAGGGGAAGGATACTGCAAAATCGCCATTCCCTCCCCATCCCACTAACCTGCTTTCCAGCTCCCTTCTCCTGTGCAGGGCAACAAAAGAAGACCCAGCAGATCGGCTGGGATTCAATGGGAAGCAGAGAAGAGATGGGGGCGGGTCCCGTCAGAGGTGATATTTGCTGGTTCTCCAAACTACTCAAAATTTCCGCTACTGGATATCCAGAACTGGTCAGAACCTGCTGAATACCACCTCTGCTGCAGGGGTTCTGGTATGGGCAAAACCCCCAAGGACCAGTTATAACCACCATTTGTTCAGCACTGTCATAACTTCAGAACAGCTGCTAAACAAATGGCCGTAAGTCAAGGAATATCTGTAGCTAGATGCTTTCAAGAACGAGGGTATAAAAATCTAATCTATTCCCATTACATCCCTGAACCCCACCACCCCGCCTTCTGTTTTTACTTTCACTACTGTAGTTCAATGATATTTGGCTCTAATGGGGGAAAACCATTTAACAATGCTCCCTTCTCTATGGATATGCTAGATCTCCTCTTAAATCTTCTAAATCATTTGTATGTGGTAGCAAGTAATACAAGTAGCCCTTGTTTAGCAACCATTTGCATTTATAACACTGACGAAAAAGTAATTCTATGGCCAGCCCTTGCATGTATAAGAGCCATGGTGATGCAGTGGTTCGAATGCAGTATGTTTTCTGCTGACTGCTGGCAGTTCAATTCTCACCAGCTTAAGGTTGACTCAGCCTTCCATCCTTCTGAGGTCAGTAAAATGAGGACCCAGATTGTGGGGGAAAATATGCTGACTCTGTAAACCACTTAGAGAGGGATGGTAAAACACTGTGAAGTGGTGTATAAGTCTAAATGCTATTGCTATAACCTTTGCAGGTCTGTAAAGCAAAAGAAAGCTGCAGTAAGATCATAAGCACAGCTGTGGTTTCGCTTAGTGACTGCTCCACTTTAATAACTAAGTGGTTGCTGGTTCCATCTGTGGTCACTAAACAAGAAGACATAATAATATAATATATATATCATATTATATTATATAACATATATAATATAATTTTCCTTGTTTTGAATTTCTTGCTAGTAAGTTTTTGCAATGTGAGAATTAGATAATCTCTCACTGTTTTCACCATTCCATGGTTAATTTTATAAAGCTGTTCTGCCTCCCACAAAAGAAGTGTTATTATCCTGTGGGTATTTTGATTTGCCCTTTTAGAAGTTTTACGAGCTCCAGTGTATTTTTTAAATGGAATGGAGAAAGAACACTAAATTGGGCTGGAATGTCTATCGGTTACACTTCTACCCAACTAGGTTAAAAACCCAAAGACTGCAATTCACTGAAAGTCGACAAATTTGCTTGAATTAGAAGAAAAAGGAAAAGCAGATGTGTCACAATGAAATCTCTGCAGCATCCCTGTCTTTTGTTGAAGTCTTACATGCTCATATACCAAACTGCCTTATGACTGTATGCTTATCCCAATGCATTTTAAAACGTCTTCTGCAAGAACCAATGAAGTTTCCTTCACAAGCAATTATGAAAATGACTGCAGTCTAAGTATCAATCCTTACTTCTTCTCTCCAACACTTGAGTATAAACCTTCTTTATAAAACCAAAGGCACAGTAATAGCTTTTTCCCAAACAAAAAGACTGGGGGAAGGACATTGGGCTGCTTACAATTTCCAGCTGTTCATCAAAATTCTCACTTTCGATTACTTTGATCAGTGGCTTCAACTTCTCTTTCAATCTCTTGCCTTCTTTCCGAGGCAGGAGGAAGCGTAGCCTCATGTGTGCCCGCTCAATCTGCATAGTTTCCTTCAGCTGCTTGATGACTTCCAAAGCCTGCAGAGGAATCCAAACCAAAGCACTGATTTTGACATTTTTATCCCGCTCACCTTGAGAAAAAACTGGAAAAACTTCGTCTCACTTCTGATTTCGTACTTTTAGTCATGTATGACATTTGTTGTGCTGAGAATTGTTCTGCTGAGCATATTTTTATATCCAAGACTAACCAGCAGGGCAATCTTCCACCCAGTCAAATAGAGCTGGTGAGAAGACACCTTGCTTTTTCAGAAGAAGTATGAATTGCATTGCAAGCATGGGAAGTACGTGCAAACCCATTAATTTTTAATAGATTAATACAGCATCTAAGCATTGTTATAATTCATTCTTCATGGGACTGTCCTTTAAGATCATCCAGAAAGTTCAAGTGGTCTGAAATGCTGTGGTTTGCTTGCTTACTTAGCAATTGGGGTACAGCCACATTAGACTGTTGTTACTGGAGCTGCACTGGTTACCAGTTTGTGTCCAAGTGCAATTCAAAGTGCTAGACATTCTCTACAACAGGGGTCGTCAACCTTTTGGATCTCAAGGACCACCAAACTCATAATTTTAAATCCTGTGGACCAAAAACCCTGGGAAAATCCCCCCAAAAGCCTGTAGGATAATTCCCCACCCCGTTTTCCTACCAATCGTTCATTCTTTATTTGGGATCGCAGGATACTGTCTCCAGCTCTGTTCTCAGGGGGAGAGAGAGAGAGACTTTTGTCTTCATGCAAGGCAAGCAGCAGAAGTCTTTCTTTCTTGTGAGACTTGTCGTGCTGATGCAGCCTCTTGGAGGAGGATGCCTTGCAGGGTCCCAAAGACTCATTTCTGGTGGAGTTTGGAGGAGAGAAAGAAAGACTTTTGCTGCTTTCCTTGCGTGCAGCCAAAAGCAGAAGAAAGAAGTGGAAAGAAGCAGCCCAGTGGCCAGGTGAGGCATGTGGGGCAAGTGGGGCAAGTTCCTCACCTTCTGCCCTTTCCCCCCTCCCCTCACTACTTTGTGTTGTTTGCAATGCGATGCATGGGCAAATGATTCCCATGGGCCATGTGGGCGGCGCAGCCTTATGTTACTGCACAGCCTGGATTACTTGCTTTGGGGGTGCCATTTCTCTGCGGACCACCAAAATTTTCTCACGGACCACCAGTGATCCCCAGCCCACTGGTTGGTGACCACTGCTCTATAAAGCTCCATACGGGCTGTAGCCTACATCTGTTTTTCTTAGATGCTGCCTAGTGAAAACAGATGAACATCCCCTCCAATTGTGAGATGGGGAGCAATCTTCCTTTGCACCAACCTTCGTAAGGCAAGAGTGGATTCTATTCTTATGTCCTTCTAAAAGCTAGGGAGTGCTTGCCTTTTTAAAAAAGAAATATGGAGATTGAATTGTTGGTGGAATCATTGGTGACAGAATATTACTTTGTCATGTTGTAAAATAGTTTTAGATAATGCCTCCAATTGTGAGTCCATTCGGCTTTAATCCCTATCATGAGACAGGCAAAACAAGTTGGAAACAGGTAACAGTCTTTCTTGCAAATTTCAACTTTATGAAATTCTCTTCCCATTGACCCCAGAGGCCTAACCTACTATCTTCACAGCTGTATCTGACAAAGGATAGCAACACAGTTTTGATTTTCAGATGTTGCAGGACTGTTACAGTTTCCTGTGCAGTTTCTTCACTGTACCTAAGTGGTTTTACTTTCTCGTAAGTAAAGACTTAGTTTTTATGATGGAAATTTAATATTTTCCAGAATTAATAACAGTATGTTCAGGATTTAAAAATGCTGAGTTTGAAAATATCCATCCATGCCATGGTTGGCACAGTACTGCATTAAAAATGAAAAATTGCAAGAAATTCTACAAAATGCAATGCACAATTAATGTTAATCTATGGGTTTAAGCATGCTTGAGGCATCTGCAGAAGAAAAAAAGAAGCAACTTTCAAAAAAACATCTTGCCCATTTACTTGGTGACAAGTCAACTCAAGCCAGATGATCAGGTATTCCCTCTTACTTCAAATTAGTACAGGTAGCCCTCAACATAGGATTGCAATTGGGACTAGATTTCCAGCTGTAAGTCCTAAATCATGCACCTACCTAACCTGGTGTCAAGTGTTTGAAATGTGGTTGCACGACCATATATTGCGTGTGAGGCCCATTTTACAATGGCCAGAAGTACTTTGCAGGCCATAAAACATCCATTCCAAGCCTGTCCTAACTTTGAACTGTTGTTTGAACTGCCATTAAGTGATCAATCGTAAGTTGAGGACCACCTGTAAAGAGAAAAAGCTACAGGGTCTCCTCATGCTTTTCATTTGTAGGCACAAAGTGGCTTCCTTCGGAGATCATCTACCTGCTGCTTGGTACTTTTCCCAGGCTTGACTGAATAATGTATATCCTTCATAGCTCTTTCAATAAGGATGACTGTGTAGGGTCTCTTGGTTTCTGGATTGACGCATTTGTCTGCAACAATGGTTGCAATGTCACGAAACATCTGCTCCAGCTGAGTGTGGCGTTCTTTATCAGAGACCTGCAATTCCCCTTTGGCTAAGATCTGAAACAAAGGAAAGTTTATTTGGACTTGGGTTTTTTCAAATTCAGAAGGTATATCATCCACCATCATCAGAACTCTGATTCAGCTTTCTAGACGATTTAGGAACCTTAGAAGAATGGCCAGGGGTGGGATCCTACCCGCATAACAGCCGGTTTGGTGAGCATGTGCTTTGCGTGCATGCGCACCAAATGTACGCTACATGTGCACGGGCTGTTTACAAATCACCGGCTCCTGCCAGCATTCACCTTCTCCTGCTGATGTGTGGAACTCAGCTGTGCCATGCAAAGCAGCTGAGGTGGCAAAAGCAGGGAATAAAGCACAGTCTAGAACCGAGCGGGTGGGTGGGCCAAACAGAAGACAAGAAGACCATTGCAGCGAACCAGTTGGGTCTCAGCTGTTCTTCAGAACTACCGGTTCGGGAGAACCAGGCCTAACCAGTAGAATCGTACCCCTGAGAATGGCTGTCTTAAAGAATCCCTGCAAATTACAAAGTAGAAATACTGACTTTCTCAAATTAAGTTTCACCCTTGGTTATTACATGGAGACGTCTGTATAGTTTTGGGGGCAGCAATACAGAAGACCTTGGGCCAGTCATTTTCTTTCAGTCCTAGGAAGGAGACAATGGCAAACCACTTTTGAAAAGCCTTGTCAAGAAAACTGCAGGGGCGTGTCCTTCTTTCAGGATTTTGTCTTCCCAGTCTACCTTACAATCTGAAACTCTTCCTGATACTCTTCTGACAATGATCCAAGGCTGAGTAAGCACTGCTGTTAACAATAAATGTAAAAGATTGTTAACCATAAGAACTGCTTTGCAGATGGGTGGCAAACAATTTAATTAATAATATCAACAAGGCTATGGAAGACTGAATCTGTAAATCAGAGCATAAATTGCATAATATTTTAACCTTCTCAAGAACAAGCAATATGGGATGAAGCCATGAAAGGTTTTTTTTTGTTTGAGTTCAATTTCTGAAATATTTAAAAGAGTCAGTGGAATATAGCATTGGACTAGGACTGAAGAGCCAGATGAAGTCTATACTCAACCATGAAAACTCCCAGACTGATTTTGGGCTAGATCTTATTATACTTCAGCCCAAATCACCTTCAATAGCTTAGTGGTCTCAAGTACCCTAAACACTGATCCCAGGTTGACCTAAACGCATAAAGGGCTTATACTAACTATTGTTTCTGATATATTATTTGAAGTTCTTTTTAAAAGTTGAGGAAAGATAAAATGAGACAAAAAAACCCACATTATTTTTGCACAATTTCAATACCTACTGTTTTGCAGATTTCTGTCTGATCATCTGTGCCAAATGCTTTGACGAGGTCTTCCTTCTTTGCCACTTGACCTTTGGAGACATTCACAAACACTGTGTCTGTCTGCAATACTTCATCAAGGTCCTTTTCACTAGAAAATTAATTTTACTTGTTAATCACATTTTAAATAATGCATGCAAACAACCAAAGTATTTGGATAGTCTTGTTTAATCCATACTGATTACTGCTCTTTAAATCTGCCTTTGATTTTATTATTATGGCAGGGGAATCAAATTAAACTGTTACATTCCACAAGCAGGATACTGTAGTGAATAATTGCAGAGTTCTATCTCAACTGGCAACGACATATTGTCAAGCAACAAACTTGTAATTTGGTTAAAAATACACAAATGATTAGGAAACATCTTAATCAGTTAAAACATTAAAGAAAGCAATACTAGTCCAAAGGCAAAGTCCTATCTGCTATTTACCAGTAAACAGGTAGCCATCCTTGAGTGGCGTGAAGAGCTGTGGTGGTGCAGTGGTTAGAATGCAGTACTGCAGGCTACTTCTGCTTATTGCCAAATCTCACCAGGCCAGTTCAAATCCCACCAAGCTCAAGGTTGACTCAGCCTTTCATCCTTCCAAGGTCAGTAAAATGAGAAGCCAGACTGTTGGGGCAATATGCTGACTCTGTAAACCTCTTAGAGAGGGCAATAAAGCACTGTGAAGCAATACATAAGTCTAAATGCTATTGCTTCACCCAAATTTGGTTAATATTGCAGCTTCTACTTAAACAAATTGCTCTGTGAAGGCAGTATCTCATGTCCTGATCATTGGATTATGTGGACCTGCCCTTGGGAATGAATTCAAAGCTGCAAATTGTGAGACTACCTTGTCAGTATACCATAACACCTATTTTAAGATCACTGTATTGGTTGCTAGTTTCCATTCTAACCACTGAGCTAAGGTGGTGCAGTGGTCAGAATGCAATATTGCAGGCTGCCGACTGCCAGCAGTTTGATCCTGACTGGCTCAAGGTTGACTCAGCCTTCCATCCTTCATGGTCAATAAAATGAGGAATCAAACTGTTGGGGGCAATATGCTGACTCTGTAAACTGCTTAGAGAGGGCTGTACCGTGAAGGGGTATATAAGCCTAAGAGCTATTGCTATTGCAGACCTAAGTCAAAATGTTGGTTATTTTCTTTAAAGCCATATCAGGCAATGTCTTTTCAAAACCAAATCTACCCATTAAGTTTTCCAAGGAGGACCTATTGAAAATTCTTGCCATGGAAGAAGTGCAGAGGGATAGGCTAGAGTGTTACAAGGCAATAAATACATTGCACAGATTTATCTTTTTTGATTTGCATTGCAAACAGGGGAATAGAAATTTAAATAATTTAAACAAAAGTTTACATTGTTCTTTACTTGGGAGTGAGTTCCATGTCATAAAGTTCTCTATAACTGTCAGAAGGATGAGAATTTTGAAAAGGGTACATTCACACAACCAAGGCAAATTAAAGAGTTGCATATTGTATAAAACTAGAACAAAACACGGTTATGGCAAAGCACCTTCATCATATTTTGTTTCCCATGTTAATCATTTATTATTTTGTCCTGAATTCCTTGTATCATCCAGTTTTGAAAGAAGCTACTTTGAAATTGTCATTTCCCCAGTTTCTAGCACATATATGGGGATGTGGGGAAGACACAGGGCAGCTCCAGCTGCTTTGTTATCTCACACTCATGGGTACATGTGACGGTGTGGTGAAACAAGATCAGAAAGAAAGTGCAGAAGGCTTAAATTTGCCTATCCCTTTTGCAGTGGCTCCATGGTGTTTTATTTTTATTTTTATAAAACAGTTAAATGAGCAGGGTATTTTCACCACTTACTGATAAACAGGAGGTAGTGTATGACTATTTTCTTGTTTTCTGGCAAATTGTAAATCTCCCAAGAACACATATAATAAATTCTGCCCATTTTCAGCTGAAGGGAGGTTCATGAAACTTTTGTGTTGAGGTAATGATTCGTAACCATTTGTCTCTCTAGTCTGAGAGCTCAAAATAAGGAAGATATATATTCATCGTTTAGTGACTGAAATCTGTTCTGAAATATGACTCCACTTAGTGTAACTGGGTCAGTGCCAAAAGAAATAGGATATAAATTTATCTCAAGCTTAGATGCATTTTTCTCAGTGAGATGGGCAGCTATATAAATTGAAATAATACTTAACCTTGATTTTATTCTATGTTATGCCCTTCTGACCTATTTGCTTATTCTTTATCATACTACTCTGTTTACATTGTTCCAGGAACTGCGGTTAGTAGACAATAGTTAAATAAATAAAATGAATACAGAAGTGTAAATACTATAGTTGATTTATAACAGCAACATGGTTACGAGTTTAAGCCTTACGATTTGCACATGCTTAAAATAAACATTTTAAGGCAAGTTGTTAACTTAGGAGTTGCAAAATTGAAAAAAAAAAGAAAAGATAAACCCTGGATTTATTGACTGATTATTTATTTAGGTTAGTCTTGCATGTAAACTCGCAAACTCTGGCTTTGTCCAACGTCAGCGGACGCGACAGGACTTTCCTGTTCCTCCCCCTGCGGCCCCAGCTCCACTCACGCGCCGCTCCGCCAGCCCATGACTTTGTTCCGGTAACAGGCAATCTCAAAACGCTTCCCCGCCCGTCGGATCCGCACGACGGCCACATTGGTCAAGCGAATCTGGTTAGTCGGCGTGAAGATCGCCATGACGCTCCAACTATCGCCGCTGGACAGGACACAGGCCAACAGCAGAACCCCTTCCGCCGCTCCCTTGTGACGACACACGTGCCCAAAATCTCGCGAGAACCGGCTCTCCAAAAGTCCGTTCTTAACTCACTCGGGTGGGAAACCAATCCTGAGGATTAATGATTGCTCGTTCAAAAGTGACCCCTGGGGGGTGAGAGGGCTTACCAGGAGGGACCGCTAAAAACAAGACAAAATCGAGATATAAGTTTTGACTCCTTTTTTTTTTTGCAGAGGTTTGATTAAAAAAAAAAATGCAAGCAGCACCATTGTTTTGGGTTTAATAAATAAATAAATAGCCAGTACGGTTGCTTAGGAAGAACTGTCTTCAAATGCTTGAACTGGTGATCTTGGACTTGTCGCTGTGCAGATTCATATAATCGTATTTAAACATGATTTTGTTTAAAATTGTGAGGATCTGGGTCGGGGTTTAGTTTTCCTGCCGGAGGATTACACTCTGCTAGAGAGAAGTTTCAGCTTGAGTCCGAAAGCTTACAAACCTAAACCTTTGGTCCGGGTGATCGACCTAGATTGGATCCTGCAACACTCAGCTGGGATAGGTATACTTACCTGCATTCCAGTTTAAATTGTCTCGATGTACTAACCAGTTGTGGTTTGTTCATATGACACAGACCCAGAAGGCTCTTTAATCACTTCAGTGGATGCTTGATTGGCATAACGAACTCTAAACCAACCATGCCTTTAAAACCATCCATGGCTCAATGTCTCTACCCATTCCAACGCGAAGCATTTAGGATCCGTGTTATTTAAATGCATATGTTAGCACCCACCCCTCTTCTAGATGAATGAAACATTTTGAGAAATATTAAAAGGAAACCAGATGGATATTTCTTCCAACACATGGATTTTCGAATCTCTCCGATACACTCGATTCTGGAGAGGGAAGATGCTTCTTTATTGATAAAAACCGTGCACACTTTGGAGGGAGAGCGTTTTGCAGCGATCGCCGGTGCTGGAGGGGGAAACTTTCTTTTCGGCCATTGAGAGGTTAATGTCCTCTTCCCAGCATGCCGGGGGGTGGAAGGTGCAAAATGGCTGCGCCTGCGAGCTCGTGGAGCGAGTAATGGGGCTTCTTGGGAATAACCCCCTTTCTGCGATCCCGAAAACATCGTTTAGTAAGATCGGGATTTGCTGCTTGGGAGGGAAGACATGGGTAGGTACTTGGAGGAGAAAAAACTTACTCATTGTGAAGGAAGTCTTATTGGGCTTTATGCGGTTTATTCTCCAGATCCAGAAAGCATGCGAAGGTTTTTGACAAGCGATTTATTCACACGGAAGTCCTGTAGCTCGCTGAAGATTTAGGATCTAAAGAGTCACGAGTTTGTATCATTTCCATAGAAGCTGGGTTGGGCAAGGGCAGCGGTCGAAAGTTTCCTGTGAAAATAAATAGGACGATTTTGCAAGATTTACTTAAATGTTATGTGAAATTTAAGAAAAAGTAATTAGTGACGTTTATGCACAAGTATTCACTTGTGATTGCTTATACTCCCCATCTCAAAATTTATTGGGTCGTCTTTGATTAGGAAATACGGTATTAGTTTATAAAATATATATTTTTCTTACTCCTGTAATGGCTCTGGATGGCTTACAAAAGTACAGTAAAAATAACAGTAAGACTTATCTAAAATATAAAATACAAGAAAACCAAACAGTATGGTCAAACCTTGTTTGAACTCTAGTAGCACTTTATTTCATATTTATTCAATTTATATGGCTGTCTCTCAAATATATATCATAATAAAACGATCAGCAGAGCATGGATCCTATACCACCAAAAGCTGAATTAACTGTTGATGTCAAATACATAGCAGGGCCCACAATTAATGCTAATTACTTAGGAAACAAAAATGAAAAACTCAAGAGGCAGTATGATTGAAGCCCCTATGTTTTGTATGTGCATTTGACATCTGTACAAAATAAAACTAATGGGGTTTTGACAAAGCTGCAGACATCTTGCTTCTTTTGATCCCGCTGAGGATATCAGATGGTGGGAAAAAAGTCTGGGTATAGTAACTGAGTGCAAATGGAATAAGAACAAGGATGATGAGGTTGCTGACAAGAAGGCATACAATTTTAGGACTATCAACAGAAACTGAATTTCTGATCTAAATCATAGTAAATAATTGTTCCACTCTTTTCTCCTTTGGTCTAAATACTATAAAAGGCTCTGAGTATCACACTTTGAGAAGGATTCAGAGAACTTTGAGCAGGTTCTGAGAATGTCAAGAAAGATGATCAGGAGACTAGAAATTAAGCTCTGTAAATAAAGATTTAAGGAATGGCAATTGATGTTTCAGTACCATGTATCTCAGATACTTTAATTTGGGTCCTGAGTTGAGCAGCTTGTTGGATTTGATGTCCTTAATGGTCCCTGTCAAACAGTACAATTCTAAGATTATACAATGATTCTGCCACCTTTAATTTGGTCTGAAGCATGCTTACCAGAGAGAAAATCGCCATTTATCCTGATATCTGGCTTTTATAAATAGTAGCATTTTGTTGTGTTTCAGATACTCCTGCAGACACCTGGGACAATCTCCATGCTCACTTAACTTTCCTGTGGCTGAACCGATTTTACCTCTATTCATGTGCAGCTTTTGGAATCAGCCTTTGGTTTTGCTTCCAGTTCCTCAACAAAGCCAAAGAGCAGGTAATTTTATTCTCATTATGTTTAATATTTTCAATTCTGGTCACTTTAACCTCGAGGAAAGATGATGGAATCTCTGTGGTTGTGGCCTCTTGAGTGCTCAAGCAATTGAGAGACTAAGAAACATTCAGTAGCAAAAAACCCAGAAAGAATTTGCATCCCAAAGAAGGCAAATTCTTTCCACCAAAAATGTAGTACTATCTTCTGCAGATTTATTCAGAAATTAAAGCTTTTGAAGCAAACCACACAAATATAGTTGTAGTTTATTGTTTATATATTCATAGAACAGTGTATTTATTTATTTATTGAATTTATATTGCCACCTCTTCACCCATGGCGACTCAAGGCAGTTTACAGAATATAAAACCACATTTAAGAGAAAAACTAACAAAAAGTATCAAATAAATTTATATAGTACAACATAACAAAATCACTCCCCAACTTCCACCACCACCACCCCACCCCGGCAACAGCAGATCACACAAGCCATTTAATAGGCTTCATCCTGCTCTGGGTTACCCAGGCCCGCTGGCAGAACCAGGTCTTCAGCACCTTCCGGAAGAGTATCAGAGTGGGGGCTGTTCTAATCTCTGGGGGGATGAGGTTCCAAATAGAGGGAGCCAACACGGAGAAGGCCCTTCTTCTGGGTCCCACCAGGTGTGTCTCCCTCGGGGATGAGATCCGCAACATTCCCTGCCTCCCCGCTCTGATGGGTCGGGGAGATGTGACCGGCAAGAGATGGTCCCTCAGATAACCTGGTCCCAAGCCATGAAGGGCTTTAAAGGTGACAACCAGCAGCTTGAATTGCACCCGGAAGCAAATCGGCAACCAATGTAGCTCCCGCAGGAGAGGTTATACATGTGCACACTGGGATATAATATAACACCAGGGTATTATATATGGTGTAATATCTGGTACAAAGAACATCTGGAACGATAGGAACGATAAGACATTTTGGCAACCATAGAGCTAGGATTAGGGTAAAATACAAATTCTGAGCAATACTTGGGAATGGATCTTCAATAATGACAAATTGATATGTTGTCATTTTAATATTAGTGGATGATATTTCCTGCCTGGCTACTTAATTTCTCTTGTTCAGGTACAGCATGTGTGATAATAATCACAAAACAACTGAAATTTGGAGATGTGAACAATATATAAGAGCTTTATTATTAAGCTTTTGCAAAAGGGAATTCTGCTCATGGCAGAAGACATTTTCCCCAGGAGGGCTGGGGTTTATATACTGGTTCAAATATACAGTCTCTGCCCCTTTCCTGGGTTCACAATCTATCCAAGCTGCTTATCTCTCTACGCCACACCCATATTATTATAGTGTAACACTTGTTTCCTTGTCCTGTTTTTCTCTTGGGAAGTGCACCATCCAAAATCCTATCTCATGGAAACCTTTGTTCTCATGGCTCCTTCTTCCTGTTATGGTCCTGTTATGACCTTCTGTAATACAATAGATCATTAACCAGTTCCTTTCGGGTCATGATAACCTAGTATCTCCTTCTCATAACCTTATGCCAAAAAGTACAGACCTGCCATTACTTTAGATCATAACAAGTTACAAAACATAATGTGTTTGTTAGATATAGTTATATAACTAATCGTTGCATAGTTCATATATTGGATAAACATGGATTCCCTTCTGTTCTTCGTTTTCTCAGGTGTAACTTGCAATATGTAATGTTCACATACAACAGCATGTATTCCTCTATAAGAGAAAACTGACTTAGACAAAACTGACTTATCTCTCTAACTTGTACACATCATCTGAATTGAGGGGTAAAGTGACTATTTAATGGCACCAGGAAAAAAGAGACTAAGTTTATTTCTGGGACTCTTTGTTTAAATATTTAAATACTGTTGTTTAAATATTTCTTTTGTAGAACAAAAATCGCCTTGCAGAATTAAACCTTTCTAAAATCACAGCTGCCAAAAAAGAACAGCAAGATCGAAGCTTTCAGAAAGTCCATGTAGCTGGAGTGAAGGTATTCTATGGTTCCCAGACTGGAACAGCAAAGGTAAATAGTTCATTAATCCAGCAAGAGGTGAATTAATTTATCTTGCACCCATGCCTTTTTTCTCCTTTTGTTGAATAGAGACAGTTGACCATTTTCAGGAGGAAAAAAACCCCACTCAGATACGTTTTTGGTTAATTCCTATCTTCAGAGCTCGGCCCTTTTTAATCCTAATTTGAGCCCTGAAAATCTGTTACTTATAAATAAATAATTTGAAAACGAGGTTGTTTTGGGGTGTAGTAAACTGGTAGTGATAGTGGAGAAAAGACATAAGAAAGGGACTTTAAGTGCTGTCCAATCTTTCCTTAAGTAGTGAATAGTTATACTCAACAACTGGATCAAAATTAGAGCCTTCTTGGCTACTACATCCATAACTCCTGCCTTGAAGTTGCAAGTGTCATGTAGCATTTCTGGTATTAGATTTGCAATACAGAGATTACAGTTCAAATCCTCATTCAATACTAATACTGTCCAGATGATTTTCAGCCAATAACTCTTTTTCCATCCAAACTCACTGGGGTTGTGATTGAGGAATAAAGTGCCCCTTGGGACATTTGTAGTAGTTGTGCAGTATCAGACCAGAGAACAGTATCCCAAACTATTCAGCAAACCAATGTGGTGGTGCAGAGAGTTTTTAAGGTCCTCTTGGAGAGCCACATTTCTGTCTCTTTATATCAAGAGTATGAAGACAAGGACCACAATATAAAATTGATAAGCAAAGTGTGTGTGGGGGGGCTGATCATAGAGAGCAATGGTATTTGAGGGTTGTGGAGAGATTGGTGTTTTGTTTCCATTGTGGTAGGCCTATTTTTAGAGGGTACACTATAGTTTTAGAATTTTTCCACTTGAAAGGCATTATTGTTGATTTTGATAAGAAGGAATTACGCCCAAAGATTTGAGAGGTTGTGTGTGGCAGGTTGCCCATTTCTGCTTTTATGAGCTCCCACTTCTGAGTCCTTCTGAGCCCAGTTCAGAGTGGAGATTTTTCCTTCCAGTTTAGATATATTAATTTTTATGTATGGGCATCTACAAATCACAAAGAGTTGCTGGAGTCCATCCATTTCAGTGCTTTCCCACTGTCAAATATTGGAAGCAGCCTCTAAGGTTTTAGTCTTCTTGGGTTTCTCCTGATGTCTCAGTTCTTAAATAGTGGTGAGGATTATGTACTAGACCAAGCTGCTGTTTCAGTGCTAAACCTTAGCATCTCCCTGCCTTGCACCCAAGAATGTCTGAAATATAATTTCTCACTCACAGAATCCACCTAGTGTAGCTTTCTTGTATAAAACAGATCTTCACTGTTTTTTTCCCTTTTCTCTCTAGCGGTTTGCACTGGTACTTACTGAAGCTGTTGCCTCCATTAATTTGCCAGCAGAAATTATTGACATGCAAGATTATGATCCAGATGATTCTCTCATAGATGAGGTTTGTACTTCATCTCTTTTAGCCAGAATGCCATCTGTGGGTCCTCATGGCTTGATGGTGCCTGCTTTAAGAACACGTAAAAATTGTGGCCAGGAGAGCTGTGGGTGGTGCATCACCTGAGACCTTGCTTGGAATTGGGTGAACTGAGGATGGTTGTTTATGCCTTTATCATCTTTTTGTTTGTTTGTTTTCAAGTCAATTTTGACTCTTGGCAATTGCCTGGACAAGTCCATGCTGTTTTCTTGGCAATTTTTTCAGAAATGGTTTCCATTGCTTTCTTCTTAGGGTTGAAAAAAAATGACCAGCCCAGTCATCCCACTGAGTTTGTGCCTAAGGCAGAATTAGAACTTTAAATCTCTTAATTTTTAGCCCAGTGCCTTTAACCAAAGTGAGCCTCTCTATTAGATTACTGCAATTTGCTCTATGTGAGGTTGCCTTGAAACCACACCAAAATTTCATGTGATTCAAAAAGCATCGGCATACAGACTCAATTACATTATTGGTATATTATACCTCTGCTCTGGGAGCTGTACCAATATCAATGGATTTCCAAATGAAATTTAAAGTGCTCGTCACTAAAGCCATATATTGTTTTTCCATATTAGTTTCTGTCCATACTACCTGGACATCAAGGGAAGTCTATTAAGAATTTGCCAAGAAATATGGTGGGCAATAGTAACATTTTTTATAGCAATACCCTACTTTTGTTATAACATGTCCCTGAAACAACAATTACCTCCAGCCTTATAGCTTTCCAGATACAGAAGAAAAAATAGCTCTTCTAAAGGACCTTTTTGATTAAGTATACGCAGTAGTGTGATTTTCCATAGTTCTATAAATGAAACCTTTTATCTCTAGTTGCTATTTTAATTTTATTCTAAACCTGTATTCTGTTTTTACTGTATACATTCTATAAATTGCCTAAAATGTGGTTGATTTCAGATGGACCAATTAGATAGACAGAATATCCTAATGGTTGACAACAATAACAAAATAACATTTTAATTGTTTGACTATGTCGTCAAGTAAGTATCAACTCTTAGTGACCCGATGGACCTTCTCCAGAATGGTCTGACCTCCCATCAAAAGAGAATAATATCCCAAATAGTGAAGTTATTTGGGATTATTTGAGGAGAAAAAGGCTACAAAACATTCTTGCATGAAAAATGTCATACTACTAATATATTGAACAGTTAATAGTTTCATATCCTTTAGTGCAGGGGTCTTCAAACTTGGCAAGTTTAAGACTTGTGGACTTCAACTGCCAGGTTTCCTGAACTAACATGACTGGAGGAGGAATTCTGGGAATTGAAGTCCACAAGTCTTAAAGCTATCAAGTTTGAAGACCCCTGCTTTAGTGGCATGCAGAAGTGGAAGAATTCCTTTCATCTGATGTTAGGGCCAAGCTCTTCAAAGATGAGTTACTTTGAATGAAATTTCGGCATTTCTCTTTTTTTACTATGAACAGTAAATAACTGGTTGATTTAAATGTTGTGACAGATCAAAAAAACAAACAAACCCTCTTTCCTTTAACTGTTCAGATAAGCAGCCAGAATATCTGCGTGTTCTTAGTGGCCACTTACACTGACGGCAAACCAACGGAGAATGCTGCATGGTTCTGCAAGTGGCTGGAAGAGGCGGCCAATGACTTCAGAGTTGGCAAAGCATATCTGAAGGGCTTGCGATACGCTGTCTTTGGTTTGGGAAATTCAGTGTATGCTGACCACTTCAACACTGTGAGTGTGGCTTTCCTTTAAAAAAAATATCTGTGCATGTTATTGATACGGTTGTTCTCAACTTACAACTGCTGTGGAGCTCAGAATTGTAATTGTAAGTCATTGTGGTCATAAGTCAAAACACCATAAGACCGGGGTTATTTTTACAACCACTTCTACAAGGGTTGTAAAGCAAACCAGGTGATATTTCAACGTCTTTTCCTTTTCAACAAGTGACAAATATATGGAATCTATGGAATCAGTGGAAAGCCATGAAATACAATAGTGGAGCATGAACATTATTTTCACTTTAAAGAACATGTGGTGAAATTGCAAGTTAGAGGGACGGCTGAAAAAAAGTTACGTAGCCAGAAGAGTATTTTTTTCACTGTCCTGTCACTCTGCCTTTGAGATATCCAGTAGTGACTGTCTTACATGTTGGATTAGTGGCATCTTTACATTTAACAGATAGGAAAATGTGTGCGTTCTCTTTGATTCTCTAGTTCAGGGGTCTTCAAACTTGACAGCTTTAAGACTTGTGGATTTCAACTCCCAGAATTCCTTCTCATGTTAGCCCAGGAATTCTGGGAGTTGAAGTCCACAAGTCTTAAATTTGCCAAGTTTGAAGACACTTGCTCTAGTTACTTCCTCTAATACCTTTCCCGAGTCTGCTATTTAATATGGAGTGGGCTTAGAGACAAAAGAGGTGATGGAAGTGATACAACAGGAAAAAGGTGGGACAGACTCCTTTAAACTTGGAACTTTCCAAATATGTCCATTATGATCAGCATCGTTTGCCTTTTATGACCCAAACATTGCCTCTCTGCCTCTTGCTTTCTCTGCAGGTGAGCAGGAATGTTGACAAGTGGCTATGGATGCTGGGTGCTCGACGCATTTTGTCATGTGCTCGAGGAGACAGCAATGTGGTGAAGAGCCAGCATGGAAGCATTGAGGCTGATTTTGAGGCTTGGAAGGCCAAGTTGCTCGTGAGGCTTCAAGCTCTTGCCAAAGGGGAACAGAAGGCCTGTAGTGGGAGATGCAAAAAAGAGCAATGTAGATCCAAATCAAAAGTGAGCCAAGAAGCAAAAGAACAAGAGACCTCAGAGCATGCGGAGAAAGAAGTAAGTGGAGAGGATGATAGAATTTTGGCTCTGTTGCTTCTTTGATTTGATGAACCTCATCTATATGTATTACAGAACAAACTGGGGTCTTTTTTTACCCTCCTTTGGACAGCACAACTCTGAGAATTTTCTCCGCCTTTTCTTTTTTTGCTGTTCACACTTACTCCATTTCCTTTGTGCTTCAGATTTATTTTCTTCATTCACATGTTCCAATGATTCTGTTTCTTATTATTTCCTCTTTTTTACTGCTGTAGGATCAAATTTCCTAAAAAAGGGATTATTTAGGGGCTGATTCCAATCCTGCTCAATACAGGAATCCTGCTGGAAGAGTCTCTAACAGATGCCTAATGTTCTTCTTACTCATTTTGCCAACCTTCAACTCTCTCTCCATGCCTTTGTTCCTGTCCCATAGTCAATAATTTCTTTGATTGCCAGACTCTCTATGTTTTTCCTGCCAGTCATGCTGATAGTTCACTTTAGAAATGGTTCTGTAGCTGAAACCTTTGTAAGTGCTTCATCGTATCTGGGTTTACTACACGCTATACACTTTGCATACTAAATCAGAATTGGTTGGGCTCCTATTCATGCTAAGACAGAAATCATTGTTTACCAACCATTATGATTGACTCATACATTTTTCAAAGCCAAAAATCAGACACAAACCACATTATACCTTAGAGATCCTTTAAGATTTTTTTTTTTAGTTTTCTGAGTTTTATAGGCATGACCCATGGAAAAGGCAGATTTTGAATCTGTCTCTTCCAGGTCTACTTCTTTATGAGTTGGATTATGCTGGTTGTTGCTAGACAGACTTCTGACCAATTTTGGAGAAGGCATCAAAGAGTGTCAGTGCTGGACATAAGGACAACTCAGTTGATAACTCATTAATTAGAGAATGGAATAGATTGGAAACATGGCTTGTGCTTTCTCTTTCCTTGTTCTGCATGTTAGGAAGAGGATTTCTTTGAAACCACAAGTGAGGAGGAATCTGATACAGAGAATGGTAGAGGTGCAGATCAGGTTGTGGATGTTGAAGATTTGGGCAAAGTGATGGACCAAATGAAGAAATCCCAGGTAAGGAGAACTTTGCCCTTGATCCGAAGACCTTTCTGATTGCACATGTATTTTTTGACTTTTGACCATTAAGTCACCATTCAAAGTTACAGCTGTGTTGAATGAATAGTGGTTTATGACTGGTCCTCGGAGCTCCACAGGAGCGTGATCTGGGTGCTTGGCAACTGGCTTGCAATTACAACCAGTTAGAGAGCCCTATGATCACATGATTGCCATTTGCAACTTTCCCTGCAGGCTTTCCCAGAAAGTCAGTGGGGAAGCTGGCAGGGAAGTTTGGAAGTTGCTGGGCAAAATCTCTCCCAGTTGTGCATCCTCTCTCAGCTCCTTTGCTCTTGCCCTGTACAGGCCATTTGCATCCTCCCCAAGCCTTGTCAGGCCTCTCTCACATCCTCTTCAACCCCCCATGCCACCCATAGATCCTCTCCAACCCCCTCTCACAGCCTCATGCCCTCCCCAAACTGGCAGCAGTCAGCCTTTTTACCTTTTGTAACCCATTTAGACTTGCAACTTCCTGCTGGCTTTCCCACTGACTTAGTTGTGGGAAGCTGGCAGGAAGTTGTCTTGCCTAATGACGATGGGATTTGCTTAACAAAGGCCACTGAGACTACAGGAATTTCCATTGCTAAGCAATAAGGTTACTCTTTGCAACTCATCGCATAGCAACTGAACTTACAGTTCCTTTTGTAAGTTGAGAACTATTTGTATTTCTAGGATCAGAACAAAAATATGCTGCTAGATGTCACTTCTACCACCGCCCAACCTGCCCTATTGTTGTGCTGCTGTCTCCCAGAAGCGATAGCAGTAGAAGTCACACTTCTTTCTGTTGCTGAAAGTCTCAGTTGCTAGTAACAATCATAATTGTCAGCCAATCCATTGTAAAAATGCCATCCTATGAAAGCTGGCCAAAGCTGTAGCAATTTCATAGCATTTTAATGGAAGGATTTCTCCAACTGTGAAGAACAGGGAGCAGAACAAATCAGCTTCCTTTTTTTCTTTAAAAAGAATCTGTTGTTCTTGCACAGAAAGCGCATCAGACTAACGGAGAGGTTCCCATTGGAGTTGGAACTCAACATGGCAGAGGGGAGGACGAGAGAAGAGAGATGATCACCCCTGCTCTTCGAGATGCACTCACAAAGCAAGGTGATGGGGTTGCAGTGCGGGGGCAACCTAAGTTGATTGTCATTATAATCAGTGTATTTATTGTAGTTATTATTGGTATTTTAAATGCAGGCAGTCAATTTTATTTACAGCCAAAAAGCCCAAGACAAGTTACAAACATAATCTGAACTTGGCATTAGATCAAATGGATATAACAAGTAGAATATTTAATAAATACTACATAGTAGAATTGAAGACCCCAGTTTTTGCATATATAAAAGAATCTCTTCCTGGCATAGATTTTAAAATAGTCCAAATAACTTCTTTCCAAACTTTCATAAAATTCACAATGCAGTAAAAATATAATCCACTGGTTTAAGGTTCCATTAAGGCGCAAAACCTTTGAGAGATGGGAATTTTAAAAAATCTACCATATAGGATATTTGATGACAACCCATTTAATCTGGCTTTCAAAAAGGCTATTCTGTATTCAAATAGATAGTTGAAATGTATAATTCCAAATGTTGCAGGTGAACACAAGTTAAATGTTTCAGGCTATTGTTAGCTGCTCGAGTTGTATGTTAAAATGGGTGGCCATGTAAGTCTTTTTAAAGATTGACAGGCAGACCCAAATGTAAGCAGGGGAAAGGGGCACAACATTTGCAGCCATATTTCACAAAGTCTTTGAATATTAGTAGCTCGGGTTGGTAGTTACGTTGTTGGTTTGAGCTCTGAGCTTGGCAATTTGGTTGCAAACGTTTCGTCCCTCTTCAAGGAGACATCATCAGTGCGCTTTGGATTGTGCTTGTCTGTGGGAGCACTGATTTTTAAATAACTTTCTGAGTTCTGGTCTGATTTCAGTGCTCCCCCAGACATGCACAATAAGCGCGCTGAAGATGTCTCCTTGAATGGGGACAAAACATTTGCAACCAAACCTCCGGCTCGTAGCTCAAACCAACAACACATTTCATAATATTGTCCATACTTCTTTTCAAGCTAGCCATTATTTCTTTGTATGTTATGTTCAGATATTGAGCAGCTACAGGAACACAAGCTTTGATATTGCAAGAATTTTTTGGAGTTGGTGTCGTGGTGCAGTTAGAGCTAGTTATGTGGAAGCCTGAGGCTCAGTCTCCCACTTTCTATGAAGCTCATTGAATAACTTCAACTGTGAGACTATTCTTCAGTGGGGAACCACAACTGGCAGGACAAACTTCTGCATATAATTAGGGAGCAGACCACACACTCATTCGCACTGATGATCTTACCTAGTCAGGTAATGACTCTAAACTTGTTTTCTGCAAGCAAACCAGAAATTCAGACACTATAAAGGCCTCCATCGTTGAACCCTGAGCTATATATGTTCTATTGGAACTGTTCTTTTCTCCTGGTCTATTTTGTAGGACTGCCGTGAGATAAAATGGTTGGGAGAACCACGTCGGTTATTGAAACCCATTCCTGTTAATGAAACTAAATTAAAAACTCACTTTATTGCAGTGTTTCTCAACTTTGCAAACTTTAAGATGTGCGGACTTCCAACTCCCAGAATTCCCCAGCTGGCATCAACACATTTTAAAGTTGCCAAGGTTAAGAAACACTGCTTTGTTGTAAGAGTAGTCAGGTGGAGACAGACCAATTAAATGGCTAGGTTTATATTCTTTTGTTTGTTTGTTTTGCTTGTTTAGTTTTTGTCTTCAAGTCAATCTTGATTCTTGACAACTCTTTGGACAAGTCCCTGCAGTTTTCTTGGCAGCCGGATTGGAAGTAATTGCCCTTTCCTTCTTCCTAGGGCCAAGAGAAACTGACTGATCCAAGGTTACTTAGTTGATTTTGTGCCTAAGGCTGGATTAGAATTCACTCTCCCCACTTTCTAACCCAGTGCCTTCACCTCTACATCAAAATGGCTCTCTCATATATCATGCTAAGCCATAATTTACTTGACCATAGTTTATTGAACAAGGTATGCACTGAGACATACATCATGGTTTTTACAGTATGGAAAACAAAATAATCACATGCCATATTTTTCGGAGTATAAGATGCTCTGAAGTATAAGAAGCACCTAGCTTTTGGGGAGGAAAACAAAAAAACCCCAACCTGCCTCTGCCTTCCAGCCATTTGTCTCCTTGCAGCAAACAGCAAACAGCCTGGTCAGCTTCAGCACAGCCTGATTAGCACAAGCAGCTGATTGTCAGTTGGAATTGCCTCCCAATGATCAGCTGTTTCAGGTTCAGAGATTGCCATAACCTATTGCTGCCTCCGCATGCCCCATTTTCAGCCTCTGCATCCCATTTTCAGCTTCCGCACGCCCTGTTTTTGCCCTCCGTGCGCTCCATTTTTGGCTCATTCCTTGTGGCAAGGATGGAATGGGGGGAAAATGAGGTGCGCAGAGACTCAAAACAGGTGGCGTGGAGGCCAAAAATGGGATGCGGAGGCCGAAAATGGCGTGTGTGGAGGCAGCAATAGGCTATGGCAATCTCTGCAGCCTGAAACAGCTGATAGGAGGCTGATCCAACCGACAATCAGCTGCTTGTGCTAAATCAGGCTGTGCTGAAGCTAACCAGGCTGTTTGCTGTTTGCTGCAAGGAAGCAAATATCTGGGAAGCAGAGGCCAAAGGGTGGGGGCTGGTGGGTGGGCGGGGCTTTGTCAACATTTGTTGTCTTAAGACACATACACATATTTCCACCCACTTTTGGGGGTGGAAAAAGTGTGTCTTATACTCCGAAAAATACAGTAAATAGTCAAAACCAAATAAACCACCTTGTGGTTTACACTGTTCTCCAGATACTTACTGGAATTGACTTTGAACAAAAGTGTTTGCTTGGGTTAAAGTGCTTATATTTGATAGCCCATAAGTATTTTATGACCATTTGTTTCTGCTATATCATTCAAACTAAAACAAAGCTTTTTTTCATTCAGGTTATAGATTAATTGGGAGCCATTCTGGGGTGAAGCTTTGCCGTTGGACAAAGGTGCTGCTTTTCTAATCAATTTTTAAATTAATTTATTTATAAAATTTATTGGCCACCTATCTTACGATAGGGTAACTCTGGGTAGCTCACAGTCATAAAGATGTATCTATACATATATAGTTAAAACATACATAATTAAAATCAAACATTAAAACCTAAAGACACATGGGGAGGAGGATGTGGGCGGAATGGGGGAGGTGGGATCTGTTATTACTAAATCAATCACCTCTACTGTGCTGCTCCCCCACTGGGGCTCCAAGCCAACTACCAGAGCCAGGTTTTTAGGTCCTTACAAAAGGATAGGAGGGTTGGGGCCAATCTCACATGGGAGGAGGGAACAAGATGTCCCAGAGGGCTGGTGCAAGAGCAGAGAAGGCCCTCTTCCTGGTCCCGCCAGCCAGAATAATAGGACTTACGGAACCTGCATGTGGGATTTAATTTTATTTACTACTGGTTCGGTGGGTGTGGCAGGGGAAGGAGACTGTAAAATCTCCAGTCAGAGATGGTATTTGCTGATTCTCTGAATTATTCAAAATTTCTGCTACCGGTTCTCCACAACTGGTCAGAACCTGCTGAATACCACCTCTGCCTCCTCCCCCCGCATGAGTGGGAGAGGCCAATCCCAGTGGGGTGAGATGGTCCCTCAAGTAATCTAATCATGATGGTGATAACAATAGTGTTTAATACAAAAACATATAGGGATGTATATAATAATAAAAGGTCTTCCCCAATCTCATGACCTCCAGGTGAGTTTGGAGGGCAACTAAAATAAGTGAATCTGGCTCATCAGAGGCTCGACTTCTCTATGGTGGGTTTTACATTCATCACAATGCAACAGAGGAAAAGCTGAAAACGCTTTAAATAAATTAATGGCAATAAAAATAAAATGCAGAAATAAATTTATATTAATTATCACAATGTTCCCTCCTTTATGCCATTAAGATAATTGTAGATTTTTAGTTCAGTTGAATTTATTAGATTTGTGATGTCCTTCTACTCCTGGGTGACTTCATGATTTTATTTCACCCAGCCATTCCTAATTACGTATTTTTCAGAATATAAGACTTAATTTCCTCCTCTCCCCAAAAGAGGGTGAAAATTTGGATGCTATTATATACCAAATGTAGCCCCGCCCACCCGCTGGCCTCCACCCTTTGGCTTTTGCCTCCCAGCAATTTCCCTCCTTACAGCAAACAGCCTGTTTCAGCTTCAGCACAGCCTGATTAGCACAAGCAGCGGATTTTCGGCCTCCAAACCATCAGCTGTTTCAGGCTGCAGGGATTGCCTATTGCCACCTCCACACACCCCATTTTTGGCTTCCACATCCTGTTTTCCGCCATTCCAATTCCGCCTCCTTTCGGCCTCAGCGTGCCCCATTTTCATTCCAGGCGGCGGGATCTGAACAGGTGGAAAATGGGGTGCACGGAGGCGGCAATAGGCAATGGCAATCCCTGCAGCCTGAAACAGCTGATCCTTGGGAGGCCAGTCCAACTGACTATCAGCTGCTTGTGCTAATCAGGCTGTGCTGAAACTGAAGCAGGCTGTTCGCTGCACTGAGGCAAATTGCTGGGAGGCAGAGGCAGATTTTTTCCCCTTGTTTTCCTCCCAAAAAGCTTGGTGCATCTTTGGAGCGTCTTATACTCCAAATATGGTAAGTGGTTAGTGATGTTCATTGCAGTGCAATACCTATTTTTATTTTTCATATTTTTAATGCGTTTCAGCTCACCCATTATCTTTTGATCAGGATGTGCCATAAAAGCTGTAAAATAAAAATAATAATACTTTGATGATACAGCTTTTGAGGTTAGGAGGAGCTGCATTCAGTTTCTGTGGGGTCCCTTCACTTTATTTAGTGAATATTGCAGAATGCTTTCTTTTCTCCAGGAGAACATACCGTTTAACACTTAATGCCAGCAAGAATTTATTATTTACCATTTTAAAATTTGGTTTATATTCTGCCTTTCTTCTCATTCCAAACTAGTATGTAATACATTATAGTTTTAGAATAATTTGGTAAAAAAATAAAATATGACTGTATAAGGTAAATGCACATTGTAATAGCAGCACCTTCTTGAGGCTACCATTATTTATTTTGTCATTGTTCACATTTGTTTGACAGTCAATGCTTCGTGGGAGAGGAGGCTGTTACAAGCACACCTTTTATGGCATTGAAAGCCATCGCTGTATGGAGACCACACCGAGCTTGGCTTGTGCTAATAAATGTGTCTTCTGTTGGAGGTAAAGATCTGCCACTGATTTTTTTTTTTTAGTAAAAACGTTCAAATGTTTGTGCCTCCAAATCAGTGTAGAACTCTGATGACTGCCTGGACAAGTCCCTGCAGTTTTTTTTTTGGCAAGATTTTGGAAATGGGTTGCCATTCTGAGGGAGTGCGAATGAATCAAGGTCACCCAACTGGCTTCACATGCCTAAGGCAAGACTCCAACTCAGTCTCCCAGTCTCTAGCCTGATGACTTAATCCAGAGGTCTCCAAACTTGGCAACTTTAAGACTTGTGGACTTCAACTCCCAAAATTCCTCCTCCAGTCAAGTTAGCTCAAGAATTCTGGGAGTTGAAGTCCACAAGTCTTAAAGTTGCCAAGTTTGGAGACCCTTGCCTTAATCACTACACCAGACTTGCTCTCTGGGATCGATTCCATCAAGGGCCAAAATGATTAAAAAGAGTGCTGCTTTAATTTTGATAGTCCTAAATTCGTTCTCAGGTACGTAGCATTGTTTCTTAATTATACATTTCTATTTTTCAGACACCACACAAATCCTGTTGGCACAGAGTGGCGATGGAAGATGGACCAGCCAGAGGTGATCTTGAAGGAGGCCATTGAGAACCATCAGAATTTGATCAAACAGTTTAAAGGTAGGTGAGGATCCTATATGTGTTATTATTTTTAAGAAAGTGGATCTTGAATATACGTGGGGGAAGAGAGTCTTTTTAAGTATGTTTCTATTACATCAGAGCGTTAGGTTTTTCTTTCATCCTAGGTATAAATGATTAAATTGGACCCTAGGTTCTTTTGTTTCTGGAAATTATAATAGCTGCACATTTGGAGAATTCTTGGAATTACAATAGGAGGCTATTTGGATGACATCAGATGGAAAGATAGTGTAATAAGAAAAACATAAGCTTTTGTTGCTCTTCTTTAGTCAAAAGAATCTTGAATGTGAATTTTAATTGGGTTAACAGTTTGTTTATGGAAGCTGTTCTGAGAAGAGGAGAAACATTCTAGTTTTTAACTAGATTTAGTTATATACAGATAGTCCTCAACTTTAGACTGTAGTGGAGTCCGGAATTTCCATTGCATGTCATGAAGGTTGTAGGTTGAAGTGCCCACATGACCGATCTAATTTTACATCATTGGCAGCAATTGTAAAGTGAGTGCCGCGGTCATTGAGCCAACACTGTAACCTTTAAGCAAACCCATTGCTCTCAATGGGGAGTCTTTTATGAAACCAGAAGAAAAAGCCAATTTCTGTAAAAAACAACAACATTGTAAATCATGGTGATATGATTGCGGGATGCAGCAAACAGCTGTAAATGTGGGCTGGCATCCAAAATGTTTATCAGAATTAACAGAAAATCTGTAATGTATTTTTAAATCATGTTATGACATACACCTTTACATTAATTCTTTTAAACCTTCCTTCTTTAATTGCAGTTTTTTTCAAAAAAATACGATTTCTACTTCAATGAAAAGTAGTTATTTAGTGTAGCTAATTGAGTTCCTAATATTTCTTTATGTATTCTTTGAGGTGGGCCTCATCAATGGAGATTAGAATATTATATGATCATAACATTGTGATATATATGTAAGCTGGTGCAGCCAGAAATTGCTGTTGTAATATATCGGACTTCCAAGAGCTGCAGAGAGAGAGTAGCTCACCGGAGGAACTAAATGTTTGGGCCTGTTTGGGGAGGTTTAATGGTTCCTTAAGCATCTGAAAAGCTTAAGGCATTTTAGATTATCCTTTAATTTTCAAACATCACCACAGAAAGGATTAAAAATATTGTTCTACAGGTAGTCCTCAACTTACAACAATTTAGTGATCATTCAAAGTTATAAAGGTACTGAAAACAGTGGCTTATGGTCATTTTTCACATTTATGACCATCGCAGCATCTCCACAGTCTCATGACCAAAATTCAGACTCCTGACAACTGGTTCATATTTATGACGGTCACAGTGTCCCGGGGTCACATGATCACTTTTTGTGACCTACCAAAGTTAATAGGGAAGCCAAATTCACTTAATAACCATGCTACTAACAGCAGCTGCAGTTATTTACTTAACAACTGTGGCAAGAAAGGTCATAAAATGGGGCAAAATTCACTTGACAGCTGTTGCTGCTACAGAAATTTGGGGCTCAGTTGTGGTCGTATGTCGAGGACTACATGTACTTCAGGAGCTCTGGAGTCACAAAAGGAGTGCAGAGAGGGGGAGATGGTTTGCCTGCCGTCTTCTGGCCCTGAATTGTTCCACTCTGCCCCAAACTATTCTCACCAGTCTGGTTGGAAATGACTTTATTCTGTTTTTAGGAGTCCCTGGCGTGAGAGATGATCGCTTCAGAGAAGGGATGGAGGCCAAGCATTGTGCATTGTCCCTTGTTGGGGAGCCAATCATGTACCCCCAGATCAACCAGTTCCTAAAGCTGCTGCATCATCGCAACATTTCAAGTTTTTTGGTTACAAATGCGCAGTTTCCAGAGGAAATTAGGTGATAAATCCAAAGAAATGGTACCTCTTCCTTCCCATTTGTTGGTGCTGCAAAGAGATTGAATAGCATTTGTCTGATATCATGTTGGGTTTCCTGCCTGAGGGGGTTGGACTAGAAGAGACACCCCCCCCCCCAAAAAAAGATCCCTTCCAGCTCTGTTATTCTGTTACTTCAGCCTACAATTAGGATAGTGTGCAGAGAGATTCATTGTGAAAAGTAGGCAGGCCAGAGACACAGTAATGGCTGGAGTTTGGACAATAATTGACGTTGAGTGATTTAATTAAATCAATTAAATACAGTTGGCATGATTATTTCCTTAATTACTAATTTCGCCCATTGGTCTCCCTGAAAATTATAAATTGATAGTCGTGTTTGGAAAGACCGAGGAGCACAATAAGGATTTTGGAAAGTACAAATGGGCTTAAGATTTATGTTTCTAATTTAGTCTCTATTAAGCTAGATGCGCAAAGTTAGATAAAAACTACTTTCTACATTCACACTATCCCACTTTGGAACTCAGTGTCACACATGCTCTTGGAAATAATCTGGAACCCAGAGCAGCTGCCATCCAAGATACATTGAATTTTAACTTCTTTTCCCTAAAAAAAACTTTAATAGCAACATTCCAAAGTTTCAGAGCTTTCACTGTTGCCTCCCACACAGGAATCTCCAGCCTGTCACACAGCTGTATGTCAGTGTGGATGCCAGCACCAAAGATAGTCTGAAGAAGATTGATCGACCTCTTTTTAAAGACTTTTGGCAGCGGTTCCTAGATAGCTTGCAAGCCTTAGCTGAAAAGGTATGGCATTCAACTTATGTTTGGTTCCCCCTTGACATAGAAATAATAGGTTGTGGATCTTTTATATGATCATTGAGCCATGGTGGCACAGTGGTTGGAGTGCAGTACTGCAGGCTACTTCTGCTGCCTGCCGGCTGCCTGCAATTTAACAGTTTGAATCTCACCAGGCTCAAGGTTGACTCAGCCTTCCATTCTTCCAAGGTGGGTAAAATGAGGACCCAGATTGTTTGGGGGCAATATGCTGACTCTGTAAAACACTTAGAGTGGGCTGTAAAGCACTGTAAAGCAGTATATAAGACTAAGTGCTATTGCCATTATAACATCATCAAAACCTTTATGAATTACATTCTTTGAGTCAAAAGTTCAATTACAGTGAACTGTCATAGCTAAAATAAATCTATATTCTGATTGATTGGCTTCGTGCTCTTTTCAGTTGAAAACTAAATGCTAAATTCAGCACCAGTTATCTGATTTCCGTCTCGCCCTATGCATCCAGATGTAGTCCTACTCACATTCTTTTATTTGTATTTACTACTGCATGTTGTAATTTAAAACTGCTCTCTCCCAACATTTTTAGCGACAACGCACTGTCTACAGGTTAACACTGGTGAAAGCTTGGAATGTGGAGGAGCTGAAAGCTTATTCAGACTTGGTGTCTCTTGGCAAGCCGGATTTCATAGAAATAAAGGTGAGCTGTTGATTGTTAGGGTGGGCCCTTCTTGCCACCCACATTTAACCTTTCGTGTGAGTTTGTTTTTCAGGCATGTGTTTTATGTGTGATAAATGGCAAATTTATCTAGGCCTGGTTCCAACTATTTCCACAAATATTTTGGGGGCATACTTTGCTTTTCAGTCTATACCCTGCCCCCTTATTCTACATTCTGCATGACAGTTTGTACCTTTACCCTTGTTCTACATTCTGTTGTGATCCGCCGGCAGCCTGCAAAGATGGCAGCAGAATCGGACAGTGGGGAAGAACATGGGCCAGTCTGGGATTCTGGAGAGGTCTTGGACGAGGGTCCTGCGTCTGATACAAAGATGGGGCCAGGGCCATCTGAGAGTTATGTGCTGACTCTGGAGCCTCCAGAATCTGACAGTAGTGAGGCAGAGGAACAAGGGGAGCATGTTCCCAGTGCCCATGTGCACAGAGCTGCCAGAAGGCAAGAACAGTTAAGACAAAAGGGGGGACTCGAGAGTAAGGCTTGGAGGTGATTGCCTCTCCCATAAGATATAAAGGAGGTGCAAAGGGACAGGAACCTTTGCAGGAAGCAATGTTGTTTGCTCTGTTTGTATTGAACCTTGAAGCTCTGTGTGGACTTTATACTTCGTTTGGCTTTTTACAGTTAATTTAGCACTTTAGTTGTTGGCAGCAATTCAAAGGAGATAAAGGTGGGTGCTTATCTCGAGAGACTGTTTGGGACTCATTACGGGCTGGGAATGAACATAATTCCCAGTGTTGAAATAAATTTGGACTAAGTGTGCGCTTAATTACGGTCTCAGGAAGCCTTGGTCAGAACACATTCTCCATGACTAACTCTGAATTAAAAGAGGCTTTGCTGAGTAGCCTGTGAATCCATGGCGGAAAGAACATTAGCCATCATGATAGAAAACATTCATGTTCAGAGACATCACTATTTGCTGAGGACAGACAATGTGAAGGCTTATTGCTTTCATGCCCTGCTCGTAAGGTTCTTGGGAATATCTGCTTGGACCTTTCATGACTTCTAACTTAATCTATGGAGACCAGGTAGAAAAAGAGCAGGGCCAACCTGCACATTCATTTTCTATCCAGTTTGAAGTCCTTCCCATATTGAGCTGAACAACCATTCTCAGGCCAGCGTCATCTTAAAGATGTGATATTTTGATACAGGTAGTCTTTGACTTAAGACTGTAATTGAGCCCCTATTATGGTCATAAGTTGTGAAGGTCTTTAAGTGGGTCATCATGACTCTGCCTGGTTTTATGGCCTTTTTTGTGGTGGTTACTAAGTGAACGTGGAGGTCGTAAAGAAAACCCATTGTTCACTGTGGGGTGGTGGTTTTTTTTTGCTGGAAACCAGAAGTAGATGCCTCTTTACAGCAACAACATAAATCACAGTCACGTGACTGGGAGCCACTGCAAATGCCCATAAATGTGAGCTAGTTGCTGACTTCCTAAAATATGGTAACATGACTGCAGAAAGGCCTGGCCAGCAGAACTTTGAATCCAGATTTTAAGTAACTTTTTTGGAATCTGTTGTAACTTAGGTCCCATAAGTCAAGGATTATCCTCATTGCTATTCACCTTTTTCTTCTCCAGCCCTCCCCCTCCCCCCTTTATTTTATCACGTATTTATTGACTATAAGGCTGAGATAAATAACTCTTTATCTTTACCTATAATTAATTAATTTAAAGAGTAGAAGGAACCCTACAGGAACAGAAACAGCAAATTTCTAAGCCTCCTATGATTGTGGAATGCTGGGAGAGGTAGTTCAGAGTTACATTGACTTATGGGCTGTTCCTTGTATCTTTATGATTTATATTGTTTTATTTAGTTTCCCTAATATGATTTATGTTGATTGCTTATTTAAAATCTTATGACTACCACTATGAATACATTTTTTATGATGACTATGATCATGATTTATCACTTATAGCTTTTATGTACACTGAGAGCTTACACACTGAAGATAAATTCCTTGTGTGTCCAATCACACTTGGCCAATAAAAAATTCTATTCCTATTCTATTCTATTCCATTCCATTCTATTCTTCTATTCTATTTTATTCTATACTATACTACACTACACTACACTATTCATAGTTGTTGCAGCCATCAGATTGCTGATCCCCATTAGAAACAGCAGTGTTCAATGTTGTTTTTCAGCAGCTGCTATTCTTTGTGGCCATTTATGGTCAACCTTGTTCTGGCAAAGATAAAGCAATCCTACTTTCTGGTTTTGCTATGAAAATTCTTCTCTTTGAGTAATTTGTAATGTTACTGCACTAGCATTTCCTAACTCTATGCCAATATATTCTTTCGAAAAGAAAAATTCCCCAAAATGAATTTGAGAGATGTCTAGGGCTCTAATCTTAAATAAATGTTTCTTCAACAGGGCGTGACATACTGTGGGGAAAGTTCAGCCAGCAACCTCACCATGGCCAATGTCCCTTGGCATGAAGAAGTGACGCACTTTGTGCAAGGCCTGGCTGACCTCCTCCCAGACTATGAAATTGCCAGCGAACACGAGCACTCCAACTGTCTCCTCATTGCGCACAAGAAGGTAAATTCTAAGCCTCTTCAGGTTTTTTCCTGAAACTTACAATTAGGAAGATTGAAATATTGTAGACTTTTTTTTTTCAGCCCCACAGATAGTCTTCGACTTACAACTAAAGGTAGTCCTGGACTTACAACAGTTCATTTAGTGACCTTTCAAAGTTACGGCACTGAAAAAAAGGGATTTAGGATCATTTTTCACACTTTCACAGCCTTTGCAGCATCCCCATCATCATAATATGCAATCAAAATTCAGATGCTTGGCAACTGGTTCATATTTAGGACCATTGCTGTGTCCCAAGATCCTGTGATCTCCTTTTTGAGACCTTCTGACAAGCAAAGTCAATGGGGAAGCCAGATTCACTTAAATTTTACTAACTTACTAACTTAGCAACTGCAGTGATCCATTTATGTGCATTGTAGCATCCCCACGATCTTGTGATTAAAATTAGGGTGCTTGGCAACCGGCATGTATTTGTAATGTATGCAGCATCCTCGGGTCATTTGATCATCATTTGCAATCTTCCTGGCTGGCTTTCAACAACCACAGTCAATGGGAGAAGCCAGGATCAACTGCATGGTTCACTTAACAACTTCCAATGATTTGTTTAACAACTCTGGCAAGAAAGATCATAAATTCCGATGTGACTCACTTAACAATCATCTTGTTTAGCGATGGAAATTCTGACCTCAACTGTGGTTGTAAATCGAGGACTACCTGTAATGATCTCGAAGGTGCTTTATGACAATTATAAACCAGTTCCCCCCCATATTTAGTTCTATTGTACTTTACTAATTTATTTGATTCTTTTTGTTAGTTTTTATTGTTTTTTATTTTTATTTTTTGTTTTAAATACGGTTTTCTATTGTGTAAGCTGCCTCAAGTCGCCATGGGGGAATAGGGAGCAATATTAATTAATTAATTAATTCAATCATTTTTAAAATAAGGGTGCTAACATTTTTGAGCCACAGGGATGGGATTCAGGCCACGTGATTGATTGTCGTAAAACAGGGGTGTCAAACTCAAGGCCTGGGGACTGGATCTGGCCCGTAGGATGCTTAGATCTGGCCCAGGAGGCTGCCCTGGAAACAGCAAAAGTCTGGGCCACAGTGCCTCTGCCAGTGAAAATAGAGCTCAGGAGAGCCGCACATGGTATTCCCGATCTCCATTTTGGGCCAGGACGACCTCCTGCAGCCCTCTGCCAGCAAAAATGGAGCTCGTGGGGCTCTGTTTTCCCTGGCAGAGGGCTGCAGGAGGCTGTCCCAGCCAAAAATAAAGCTTGGGAACCCATTTTTGCTGACAGGAGTGATTTCAAGCTGGCCACACCCACCTGGGCCATGCCCAGCCCCAGTGCCCTGAGGTCAAAACGTAACCCTGATGCGGCGCTCAATTAAATTGAGTTTGACACCCCTGTTGTAAAAGGTTGCCATGGCTTTGCCAGTTTATCAAAGGCTGCCCTGTTTAGTAGGGGCCAATCTCAAAATATTCATTTAACAGAAGGACATTCTGGTGTGATGGTTCCATATTACTCTTTCAAGTCCTGCAGGATACTTTCTATCAATTCATCTGTTCCATTTTTTTTGTCTGGGCAAACAACATACTTCTACGCGCCAGGATTTTTTTTTTTTAAAGTCTAAGGAGGCCTGCCAGATCTGTGATTAATTGCTATTTGGAAAATCTACACCCAAAGTTAAATGAGGCAAAGAGCATAATTATGTCACAGTGACATCTATGGATATTATGTGAGGAAGTCCAGCATTCAAGTCACAAGAAGGGTAAATTTAACAATGGGAATTGCAAAAGTGAGATAAAAGAGCAATCAAAATAATAGGCATGTTATGAATACTCAAAATTGGAAATCTAATCCAACCAAGGAAAATGTGCCATGCTCCTGTTCTCCAAATGAAAAGAGATTCCCAGTTTTTTGGGCCACCTCTGGAACAATCCATGAGAATTAAAAAAAAAATCTGTTTGGTGGAGCAGGCTATACTAAATAAATTGTAACATCTGAATGGAGAGCAGGGTCAGGGAACTTGTATATAATTGAGATGCAAAATATTTGTCTATGACAATAGATTTGATATTAGGATGTCAAAGTGGAGTGAAGAGAGAGAGATTGATGTCTGTGGAGATTCTCAGTCATCCAGGTCATGGTTGTATCCAAAGGTGCTGAACTGAACTGAAGGAGCTTCTTGGATGAGAAGTGAAAACATCTTCAAAGAAAAACAAAGTCCAGTTGCTTCTTGAAAAAGCACCTTTGGGGGGAGATTGACTCAGTACAAGTCTTAGTACCCATAGCGTTGCTTTAAGGCTGTCTGTCATACCTAAGAGACCTTCAGTAAAGTTGGTTAGATAACATGTCAAACTAAAGAAAGATTTGTTTAATTACGGGTTTTTTGAAGAAAAAAAATGGCTGGGCTCACAATAGCACATTAATCCAAACAAGAAATAATATTATTTTTCAGTACAGCTTTCTCCAGTCTTTCTGTCTTCCAGATGTGTGGATTTTAGCTCCTAGAATTCTTAGCAGTGGTCATGCTAGCTGGGGAATTCTGAGGATTGAAATCTCTACATATGGAGAGTGATCAGCTTGGAGAAAACTGGCTTGAGTGTGTTGTAATTTTGTCTGAATCAGTATATTTATTATAATATAATAATATTAAAATAAATAATATAATCTTTAGAGCAGGGGTTCCCAACCTGGGGTGCTCGCACTCTCTGGGGGTGCGAGACGATATTCCAGGGGGTGTGAGAAAAGTCCAGGTAGATAATAGGATATTGGCTATATGTTGGCATTTTTATTTATTATTTATTTCAAGTGGTGCAAGGTTCAAGTGAAATTTTTTTAGGGGTGTGGGGTGAAAAAAAAGGTTGGGAACCACTGCTTTAGAGCCTTTAAAAAAAAAAAAAAACCTCCCCTCTATTTGACAAATTATATATCTGCTTTTTCCTTTAGTTCAAGATCGAAGGGAAATGGCACACCTGGATTGACTATGATCGTTTTCAAGAATTGGTCCATGAATATGAACAGAGTGGAGGAATTAAAACATTCACTTCTGCTGACTATGTAGCACTGACTCCTCCTTGGGCAGTATTTGGAGCTAAGGAAAGAGGCTTTGACCCAGTGGACACAAGGTTTCAACGAAAAAACAAAATAAAGGACATCTCTGGATGCTGACAACTTTAAAATCGGACCATACAATCAGAGTTTTGGGTTTTTACACTAACATCAGAAAGCGTTGCATAAAACTGGAGACATCTACCGTATTTCTTTTGGGGCTGTCCAAAGTGGGTTTTTTTTTCCTTTTATTCTACCCAGAGGAAATTGGTAAGTTATATGTTTTTTAAAAGGCAGGTAGATGCTATGAATTTATCCTTCCCATATCTTGAAGTGGACAGCTGTGCCCTTTCAGGTCCACAATTTTTGCAGTCCTCACAGCACCCACATTTTGTGACCTATTTTTGTCTATTCATGTGGCATCATCATCTGTGCTCCCTTCAAGCCACCTCCCCACAAAATAAAAAAATAAAAAGTCTTGTTTTCTTAATTAAAGGTTTCCTTGAAATCAGCGAGGTATCTTGTGTCATACCTGTGGACTGTAGACAAAACTATTTTTATTTTCTTCCGTAAAAGTATTTGAAAAGACTGAAATGTGAAGGTTGTTTCTCCTGTTTCTCTGAATATCTGTTACAACAATCCTTATGTGCAGCAAACCTGGCCTGAATTGGCCATCTAAAAATGTTTAAAAAGATATGTGGCCCAATGGTGTATGTGTGGCCAAGCCTACACTAAATTGAAATACATTTGCTCGTTGCTAGAAATTTAGCTCAATAAATTAAAAACAAGAAGTATCCCATCTCTTGGTGTGTGGATATTTTTTTTCTCCCAACTATTAATATAACAGTCCAAGATTAAAGCCTGTATCTATATTTTTTTCAGTGTTTCTTGCGGATCCATCAATTTCTGGGTTGTTTTGTTAAAATTGTTTGCTTTTTCAAATGTAACTAACATTCTTTTCCTTAATAATGTCTGCTCTACAGTAATTAGTTTTTCTTGAATTTATGTATACCTTTTGATATCTGCTTTAAAAAAAAGTTACATTTTTGAAAGCAAGCAGAATAAAAATCTGAATTTCATACCTACCTTTGTGACTCAAGTAAAACACCAATCCATTTTATTACTTTTTTGTATTATTTATAGAATGGTGGCAGCACATGAAATAATTCTGATTGACTGGAGTTCTTGCCTGAGGGTACATAAAGTCTGTCTTTCTACTGATGGGATAAGACATCCTTCCCCAGGTGGCGTCCACCAAGTTTTTTGAAACTACAACTCCCAGAATTCCTTGGCAGTCATTGGGGAACGCTTGGAGGGTACCAGACTGGAAAAGGCTGGTATAAGAAGTGATAATCCCATTTCTGCAAATACCTTAAGACATGGCCATTTAGTATCTGCTGGTATCTTTTTCACCTCCCCTGTTTAGTCAAAAAAGGATTTTATAACCTTGGGAGACCACAGCAATTATTATGTTAAAAAAGACCAGGACTTTCAGCAGTAGCTGATTACAACAAAGCACAAATATCTCAAAATTAGAAACCTTCCCATTTTGCTTGAAATCACATTATTTTTTCATGACAAAAGAAGAAAACGTATTTTATATTAAAAGCCAAAATAGTTTACTGTGAGGAAAAACAAAGTATATTTACAGTAAGAGTTCAAGCTCTGGGTTTCCGAGAACACTTCATCAGTGACTTATGAAAAGGAAAGTAACAATTGATTTTTAAGGACTATTTAATAGTAAAGGCAATAGAAAAAAATAGAACGTAAGGAAAATGGTGCATGTGTTTTGGATTTGAAGTTTAAGATTTGTCAGTGCAGAGGGAGTGTGTGTAACTTCTCTGTGATCCCTTAAAGCAGAGGTTTCAAACTCGATTTCATGGAGGGCCACATCAGGGTTGTGTTTGACCTCGGAGGGCTGGGTGTGTGTGATCAGGGTGGGCGTGGCCAGCTCGAAGTCACTCGTGTTGAGGACATCTGTGGTAGCATGAGTGCTCTGCCAGTGAAAATGGAGCTCGGGAGGGCCCTCCTGAGCTCCATTTTTGCTGGCAGAGGCATTGTAGGCCGGTCCTTCACTTTTTAGAGGGTGGGCCCCCAGGCTAGATGTAAGCACCCCGCAGGCTGGATCTGGCCTTGAGTTTGATACCATTGCTTTAAACTAAAAATATCTTTTCCTGAGTTTGCAGTGTGCAGGGCAACCATTCAATCCATAGGACCAGTTTGGTCTAGCAGTTAAGGTATCAGATTAAAAACCAGGAGACTTGGACTAAGTTCTAATACCACTTTAGGCATGGAAGTTGGGACAGCTCCAGAACGAAAGAGAACTGAAAGAGAGAGCGTGCCAGTTTAGTGAAAATTTTTTCTTTACTCTAAGTTTTGAAAGGACACCCTAAGGAAAAGAATGAATCTGTAAAAGTTTTGAGAGAAGTGACTAAGCGGCGATTTTAAACAGGAATGTTAAAGTAATATTTTTTTTCTCATTGCTGGATTTTCCACATACGATCTTATATTTTGAAACTGGACTGGTTTTCTCTCTTTTATCTATTCTTTTTCTCCTTTTTGATTTTATAATATTCTAGGCTAGAGACTCCCTTTTAGTTTTTTTTTTAAATATCTTTTTCTTTTTTTAATTAATTCTTATTGTATTTTGTTTGGAAAAGGAGGGGGAAAGTGAAAGCAAAAGAAACCTTGTAACACTGCCAACTAGAGGCTTGGAAATATTCTATTTCTCTTTTGACCAGACAAAGCTGAGAAAGAACTGAGACTTCTTTTCAAGCACATTGCTATTTGATAAGATAGAGCAGGCTTGTCCAACCTGCGGCCCAAGGGCCGCATGCGGCCCAGGTCACCTTGTAATGCGGCCCAGTGCCCACCCCAACCTTCGTGCCAGAGCCAGCGAGGAGGAGGAGAAGCAGGCGCGAGGCAGGGCGAGGCGAGCGCCAGGCCAAGCAGCAACAGAAAAAGCAGGCGCCGTCAGAGCGCCACCTCCTGCTGTTGCCACCACCGCCATCGCTGCCGCTTCTGCTCCCGCCGCTTCTGCCCCCGCTGCCACTTCTGCCCCTGCCGTCGCTGCTGCTTCTGCCCCCGCCGCCTCCGCTTCTGCCCCCGCCACCGCTGCTGCTTCTGCCCCCGCCGCCACTACCCACGCCGCTGCTTCTGCCCCCGCCGCTGCTGCTGCTTCTGCCTTCCAGTCCTGCCTCATCCAGCCGGGCCATTTGCAGGAGGAGAGGTAGGCACGAGGCAGGCGAGCTTTCTCCCCCCCACCCCGCAAAATTTGGCTGGAAAATAAACCATGATAAAAAAACCGTGATAAAAAAACTGTGATAAAAAATAAATAATTTTTAATAAATAATTAATAATAAAAACATCTCACTAACTTCATTTCCAAATAAATTTAATATGTTAACTATGTTTTCTATGGTTTTTTTGGATGATCAGGTATCGTTACTGTTATTTTATTTTATGTGCGGCCCAAACCAAATTTTCATCTTCTAATGTGGCCCAGGGAAGGTGAAAGGTTGGACACCCCTGAGATAGAGGGAAGAGCATGGGAGAGTATTATTACAGGTGCTCTTCTGGGTTTCTATCAACAGCTAGTCTGGTGTTGAAGCTTATAGGAAAAGAAAAGCTGGTAAGTCTCTGGAGAAGAGAGTTACAACAAGAGCCTTGGATAATTAAACAAAGCGCAGTGTGCTCTTTTTATTTTTTCTAAGCTGCGCTACCCCTCCTCATCAGTTTACTTTTTGTAATAGCTATTTGGATTTTTGGCCCTTTGGAACTTGTCTTTGTTTTTTGCTTTTCCTTGTCTTTGGAAGTTAAATTTCTACACTTGCTCTTTATTTTAAAGGAAAAGCTTAATTAATGATTTTCTTCCTTTTCTTTTTAAGGGAGTAGTCTTTTTTTTCCTTTTTTCCCTCCCCCTCCCTGGTATTTTTGTCTTTCCATCTACCTTCCATATTGGCTTTTTTCTTTTTTCTTTTGTTTATTTTTCTGGCCTTCTTTCTCTTCTTATGCATCCTTTTATATTTGAGACCTGTTAATTGGATTAAGGTGTTGAAGAACCTGAAGAATTTTCCCTTTCTCTCTAATTTAGCAAAGTGACACTAACACAATGTAGGGGAGCTATTTTTGGATCCTGGGCCCTAGTTGACACTGAAAGTCTTGCAAAGGCTAAGCTTCTGCTGTTTTCAGAATTTTCATCTTACACAATTAAAGTCCCTCCTATCAGTCTATTCCTGCGCCATCACCCATTAAGGTGGCTGGGATTAGCAGACTATCCTAAAGCCCCCATTCTGCTTTTCTTTACAAATTCAGGGGAAAACGCTTCACTTTTTTTTACAGCACATGAGAAGGAGTTTTAATGGAGATTGAATTTGTGGTTTTTAAAAAAATATTACCAATTATTATTTTACAAACCTAGAACTACGCCGCCTTTGGTTCAATCTAAATATAGTATATAAAATCATACATTGCAATGTCCTAACCTGTCAATGAAAACTTCAGCTTTAACCATAACAACAAAAGAGATACAATAGATACAAGCTCAAGATTAATCTCACCAAACTTGATTGCAGGAAATACGACTTCAGCAACAGAGTGGTCAATGTCTGGAATACTCTACCTGACTTTGTGGTTTTTTACCCCAAACTCCCAAAACTTTAACCTTACTGTCTACTATTGACCTCACCCCTTTCCTAAGAGATCTGTAGGGGGCGTGTATAAGCGCACCAACGTGCCTACCGTCCCTGTCCTAGTTTCTTTTTTTCTTATATGTATCCATATATTCATAACTTTTTTTTACTTATACCTATTATCTTGTAAGCAATTGACATAAATAAATAAAAATAAAACAAGCTGTTTAGAATCTGATGAATCGGGAAGCAGCAATGTACGTATCTGTAAAATAATAAGGCCAACTTGTAAGAACTTTAAAACTGTATCTTGCTTAATGTTTGCTGCTCCTTAGTCTCCGATAAAGTGTGCTCCTTCCTCGGGCGCACAAGCAAGCATTTGAAAAGCAATGCCGATGCAGATCGGTGAGATAAGATTCCCAGCGGGCGCGGGGCAACGTTTCCCTCCGCATTCAATTGTTTCTTCAATCACTTCTTCCTCCCACTTTTTTCTGGGCAGGCGGGGGGGGGGGGGGGGGCGCTAGACGCCAGCCAATCCGGTGGGTGAAAAAGAGCCGGCGCCTCATTTGAAATCTTGCAGGAGAAGAAAGCTAGCCGAAGAAGGCAGGGGTGGTGTAACTAAATAGAAAGCGGTAAAGGTGAGTTGGAGCGAAGGGGGGAGGGATGCAAGATTGACCTTTTTACGTCCTATCACCTCCATTATA